TTTACTAGAAAGTTCTTGTGTTTTCTGGGGGTGACGAGAGGAGACATGGCAGAGTTAGCCTGTCAATAAAACTAAAACTGCACAAATATGACTACATTTTGAATCTGAAGCTGACAAGGAAGGGTTTTTGAACTGGCCAAATGCAATGTGGTGCACCTTTTTGAGCTGATTTTTTGTCAGACACTGTGTTTCCTGTTGATTGCTTTGAAAGCGTCACAATGTACGATGATTCATTCAAGTTAAAATGAGGAATCATATGCATAATATTTTCTTTCAATGCAAAAACTAAATAAGGTGCCAGCTGGTTGGAGAAAGACTGCTGGGGAGACAAAGGTTTCTGGTAAGATAAATGACAGTCGCTATAATCCAAGCTACTTACTGTTAGCTGCATTGTGTGTATTGTCATTTCCAGTAAATATCACAATGTGTTTTAAAATGTGTTTTTTGTTTTAAGCCAATAGGCTACTCACCCATCTTCGAAGTGTTTACGTCTCCAGTCTGATCTCAAGTGCATAGCTGATATTTACATGGTTTGTTTACATGACATAACAGAAGTGTATATTGATCGTGGACACAGAGATCCGATGATATGCAATGCAACGCGATAGTCAGATGCTCATTTGCTGTTGTGACACTGTGTTGTTATGTTCAACTTGGGACCGCTGCTGAGGCAAGTGCAACACTTGATAAAATTCGGAATACTGTTCGAGTTTGGTTGTTTGGCTCAATATCAATCCAGTTTGAACATTTTTTTTTCTCCGGCCCAACCCTACTGACTTGCTCGTATTTACTATCTTTCCCTAGTAGAGACCAATGTCAAATGATGAACTCACCATTATTCGAAATATAATCATCAAGGCGACTGTGTATGAGTTCATCCAATATCATCACATCTTACTTTTCTGCAGCACAGTAGCCTTGCTTATCTTCTGTGCTCCCACTGCAAATTCAGACTGCTGCTGGCACGTTGGCACTATGGACTGGAGGTCATCGTAGCCTTTCTGAAGTTACCAAAAAAAATAACACATACTGAACAAATGAAAATATGTAGTTCTAAAACTTTTTAAAGGCCCGTGTGGTGTATCTGCAGTAAGTCATGGAGATCAAAATCCAATTTGCCGTCTACTGTAGCCTTACCTTAATAGCATCCCTACGCTTCTGCTCAGCCTGTGTGTGTGCTTGTCTCCGTCGATCTTTATACGAGTCCTTATATGATGCCTCATGTCTGTAGTCACTGTCTTCATCATCTATTCAAAAATATATTAACACTCAGATTTAGAAACATGCCTCTGACTTCTGACTGTGACATAGAATACCAGTCAGCAGACTGACAAATGCACAATGAACTATTTTGCAGAACTTTTCGGAAACATGAGGACTACGCTAATTTTAGTTGGTCTAAAACCATACCAAGATTTTTTTTTTTTCTGAGACTGGAAGATGAATTTATTGATTTAGTTACAGTGAATATCCTGGAGTAAGTCTTCAGTCTATTTTCTTCCATCACAGAAATTTAGCCAAGACTGAATCATTTTTCACCTCAGCAGGATTCAGAGAAGCTGATTCATGCCTCAATCAAGTTATATCGATCTCTGTAATGCACTTCAAACTGGCCTCCGCTACACTTTATTTGACAGAGGGGACTCATAAAACCCTGCTGACAGAATCTGGACAAAAGCTACGAAGATGGAAAACAGTCCTGCATGCACTGGATTTTATTAACAATATAATTACACAAAGCCCACTATTGGAATTATTGTGCATCTATCCTATTAAATACACTTATGTCCCCTGTGTTTTATATTTCGAAGAGAGTAGCAAAACAGGGTTTTCCTTTTTTCAAGAAGCAAGAAGTAGAAATGAAAGAAAGCAGGCTATGTCTCCATTGAACAATTAGGTTTTACTTTGAGAGAAAGGTGATATACAAATAAGGCCTTTCATTCTTAGAAGTTCAATTTTAAAATATGTGACAGAATTAAGACTGCAAATATATGTATTACAGGGAAGTCATCTGAAGTTAAGAACATTCAACAAAGCAAACATTCACATCACAATCTAAATGTAGCACGAATTCTCTCTTAAAACTGTCGGCACTGTCAGTTCCCCCCTGTATAAACATAGTACCTGTATTTGGTACTGAGGAGGCACTTGTTGAGCCAATGCTGTTGGCCCTGGACACAACTGAACCCTTTCTGGCAGTTTCAGCAAAGAAACCTGAAGATCAAGACAGACAGCATGCATCAAAGATTTTTCACTGCAAGACCAAAAATAGATTGACATGCTAAGCTCAGAAACACAAGGTCACTATCACAAAGCTTAAATATCAAATGATATGACAAACAACAGGATATGAACTGACTGAATACTCACTAGGGTCAAAGCCACTGTCGCTGAAAGCGCCGTCTGTCTGCCGAGCCATCACCAGACAAGAGAAGACGGAAAAAGGAGAAAATAGAGGCTGAGAGGCTGGAATAAAAAGGGGGGAAATCGTGCTGCCCTAAATACACTGACAATAGACCAACAGCTAGTATGATAGGAAGTCTAAACCCCCACTGAGCATTGCCCTGATTTGTCCAATTTAAGTATGCAGCAGGGTAAAGAGCTGCATCCTATTTGTACTTCAATCACAGATCCACTGTTTGATCTAGGGCAGCACAACACAATAGTCACTTCAATTTGTGGTTCCCAAAATTGGGTCCCTCTCTCTCTTTCTCTCTTTTATTGACAATGATTCCACGAGGCAAAACCCTGAAGATGTGTTCAATACCAACATTAAGTCTTGCTAAATGTTTAGAGTGTTTGATAATGATTATTCTAACCAGGGGTTTCACTCTCTCTACCAACATCCATCATATTAAAGGAGAATCCACGAATAAAACCTACGTATATCAAATGTTGCCCCCTAAAGGAGTTTAACACGGTTAGATAAACAGCTCTACTGCGGTCCCTCACACAGGGAAGATCGGGAAATATCTTCATACAGCTGCTCTTCCATGTCAGCAGCGACATCATTATTAGATACGACAATGACGTACTGACTTTAAATGGCTTGTTGTAAAATCTTCAATCAGTACTTTTGTGAAATGGAAAGGGAAAGTGAACCAAGTATTCTCCTAATGACAAAAACAGGATTTCCTTATGCTACACTGTTACTTCCCACAGTTTGCATTTATTATATTTGGTAGGGCTGCAATTAACAATGGATTTGCACGCTTGCTAAGATTTACTACACCATTCTGGCAGACTTTTCAGTAAATCTGCACTTCAATTTCAGTTGGATGCTTAAAAGAAAGACAGAAGTGCAAAAAAAGGAGTGTCGTTTTAGGTGGCTGCAAGTTTATTTTAAGCACAAACAAGAAACAAGAGCTGTCGTTTCGGGTCGTTTTGTTTACTTAACAAGCTAACTGCTAACTGTTATTAGCCCTGTGACGTTGGCTAACGTCACCTAGCTAACGTTAGCTGTCAAGCTAACAAAGACTTACTCCTCCATAACGTTTGCAAAACTTCAACTTAAAGACATAACAGCTTTTGCAGCCTATCGCTGCCGCCACAGACGTAGTAATCAAGTTAATTAAAAAGTTGTGGTTAACTAACATTAGTCACTTACTTTCCAGTGATCCTCTGGCGACGTTGTCGGGTCCGTCATTTTGGAATGTAAAATAACTATTAGCTATGCTGCCTTCGCGTGCATCTCGTAGGTTCCTATTTTCTTCATATAAAAAGTTGTAAGAATCTGATGTCCGTCTCTCCATCATCCAAATAAAAAAATACAAGTTCTCCCATACCAAGCTTTATCAACTGATAAAATTCTTGTTATTCACGTACCCTTAAATCAGTAACTTACACTGATGACTTCACAGTCTGTTCTCCCACGGTACCTTATTCCTGTGCACGAATAAGAAGAAAAAATTAGGCTTCGTCATAAAAAAAAATGGTTGTAGTAGTATTAATAAGTATATTGTTTTTCTTTACAAGGTTAGTGTTCGCTGCACACACTTAAAACGTCTTGAACGTTATATGAAGCTGTATGTTCCGATGTCGAATATCATGACTTGCAACTTCCGAAGAGACAGCGAATGCAGCAACCAACTATGCAGTAGTTAGCTTCAAACACAGAGGGGCGCTGTTGGACAACCCTCTCTACCTTTTCACTCAGGACCTTTACCTGTCTTCCACATCAACCTGGCCTCACGTGAACTTAAATTAAATGACCAAAACAAATGTAACCCCATACAAGTTAAGCTGGCTTCAAGAGAAAGAATGGCTCCAGTGTAGTGAAAATGGATTCATGGTAATGTGAGAAAAAGTTTTCTTTGCTTGTTGGTTCATCTTCACCTGCTGTGGTTACACAGGTTGCCATAACCTTGGACACTCTTTCTGCTTTCTTTTTATTACTGTGCTGCCTTATCACACTCATCAATCACCTACTGCTTGCACGATACGCCCAACAGTTACCATGTTCATCTTCCACCCTGCCTTCCACCCCAGCTTCTGTTGCTGTCATGCACAGGAAGTTGCTCTTCTGCTTTTGTACTTTTGTGGTTTCTGTCTGCGTTACATAGTGTGTCACACTCCCCTCTCCTTCCTCTCATACACAGCCCTGTGTACTCACTCACCAGAGGAGTTGTCGGTCAACAAGTACTATAGAGAGTAGCAAGCAACGCTTAGGTGAGTCTTTTCGTAGAGCTGAGCAGGCCAAAACAAGGCTTGTTACCTTATCGTCAAAGGTGCTTGTAGACAGAGAGCAAAACAGGTTGATGAGAGGACAGGCATGAGGACGACGTACCTACTTTCATTACTCACCCCATCCGACATAGGCGGATTCAGTAGACCAGAGGCTTGATGTTCCTCTCCCTGAAGGCCCAAAGACTTGGTTTGATTTAAGCCTGCTTCTTCTTGTTATTTGGAGTGTGTTGTCACTCTGTTTTGGAATACACTGATTTCTCAGGAGAAAGGGTTTGTTTAAAGCTTTCCTCCTGGATTACTTGTGGAGATTAGTGATGGGGAATGCGGCTGCAGGGGGCTTGGAGCAGGAACCGGCTGAGGTCCGAGAGGCCAGGAACTCGGTCGGAGGAGCTTCAGGAATGAGTGACCCCACTCCAACCTTGCAGAAGAAGCAGCCGGCTCCCCCCAAGCTGCCCATGCCCCCAGAGGAGGAGCTGGAGGAGCGCTTCAATGTGGTGCTGGTGAGTAGCTGCTCAGGAGACAAGAAGGCATGCACCTTTACCGCACATGAAAACAGATGTGACAGCTATGAAATGTGATGAAATGGTGCAGGTATACCATTTAAAGTCATAGAAAAAAGTTGCTTTACGTAGTAAGTGTTCTGAGCCCTGGTTTTTGAACACTTAAGCTCTGTGACTGATTTATGCTGCCAAATCAATTCGACCTGAATACAGACTTGATATGATGTCAGCCCTTTTCTGTTTGTTGTCTAACACATTTTTATATTTAAATCCAGAGGCCCATTTTTCTGGTCTGTACACAGAGCCAGGCTTTACAAAATATCTGCTTTAAATGTGGTCTGACAAAGATCTAATTTTGCCCAATCAAATCTGCACAAAAGGCATCAATAAGTGCTTCGTTCAAAGCAGGGATATCACATTAAAAACAATAATATCAACAAGCTGGCGGATTCATCTAAGCACTTCTTTACTTCTCTGTTAGATTTGAAAATGTCAGAAACAGGGTGATTAGTGCATGCTCAGGCGGATGGCCCCAAGGGGAAGTTGAGCAACATATTTACATGAGTGAGACCATAAGACCGGAAAGCAAATGTTCCACCACTCTTTCAACAGTCTCACAACAAGCTGAAAAACATAAAGCCTCATGAGGAATACTTGAAGCATTTGAACATTCATTAAGAGTAACACATCAAAACATTTAGTTTAGCACCAGGGATGCTGACGCACTTAAATCTTTGATTATTTTTCAAGTGAAATAAACAATAAAAATTATATGTTGTTTAAAAGTTTAATTTCTCAAGGCTGGTTTTAATCATGTGATCTTAAAAAGTGAATTGAAGACAAGCAAGACTATAAATTGTGATGTCATACCAACACACTGCAGCCTGCAGCTGCTCCATTAACATCAATAAGAAGCTCGACTTAAGCTGAAGCTTAAGCTTGACAGCCTACACACTTTGGGGTCTAGTTTCCCGGCGTAGCGCAGGGTGGTGCAGGGTGGCGAACCCCGCGCAGAGCTAGTTTCGAGCAGCGCAACCAGAGGCCCGCTCAGTTTGGTCGTTTGGCAGACCGAGGTGCTCTGAGATGGGTGTGGCGACGCAGCAGGGGGAGGTGTCGACAGATGCAGCTTGGCCAGTGACAGTTTCGTGCCAAAAGGCTTCGCCAAAGGTGCGCTAAAAGCTCGCCAGCTGAAATCAGGTCTCAGGCACAGTCGATCTTGGCCAGCACTGACCACCCACTTTTAGGAGAATTTTTTCTTCTTCCTTCTGGCCCGCGTTACAGGCTCCCCAAGGTTAGAAGCAATAGGTTTAAATTTTCTTTTATTCCAAGTGCAATAAATGTTCTTAATTTGCACTGAGTCTTGATGGACTCAATTTGCCTGCACTGTCTATAAGCACTCCATATGGTCTTATTCCCTTATAGATTTATTTTTTCTATGGACAGCTTGATCTGATCTATTTTATTCATGGTTGTTGTGGTTGTGATTGTTGTTGACATTGTCTTGATTGTCCCTTGTATGTTGAATTGCACTGCAAACTAAATTTCCCCTTGAGGGACAATAAAGAACTGAACTGAACTGAACTACTGTCAGCGCAGGCGGAGCGCAGCCAGTGTAAGCCGAAGTTTGGCTGACCGGCGGACAGTGCGCACACGTCACCAAAACCTCACAGGCAGGTTTCCAGAATGTCAGGCACATTAACATGCAATAAATACCTAAAAAAAAACACTATTCAATGCAACTATCTGCAATCAGCACATAAATGTATCTCTATGTCGACTGTCCCGTCACATCTGATGTCAGATCAAAGGGGATTGGCACCATTTGGCACACCTAATGGAAACCCAACCTGATTTGATTAACACAGCAGCAAACTAATGAGTTCACATCCCTCTCAGCCAACCACAAACAGCCACAGCATCAGATAGGGAGTATATATTCAGCATCTGTCATCTTAGAAAAGTCAAAAGAAAAGAAACAGAGTGAGACTGCAAGAGAGAAAGAGAGAGAGCGCGCACGCACACGAGAGAAACGCAACATTGATTTACGATTGTGGTGACCTCCTCCCAGGCTACCTTTGCATCATCAGCCCGTGGAGGTCTGCTCGCAGTTCCATATAGTCGGACACTGCGAGCTTGGACCTCCCGGACCAAAACATAAGTTTCCACCTGGGAGAAGTTTGGCCGTCTGACGCTGCTGCTCTCTTCTGCCATGGCGAATTGAGTTAACTCTCATTATGCCTTGGCGCAGCGCATTTAAGGGCAAGGAGAGGGGCTCATTTGATTGGTGTGATGTGTGTAAAACCCACTCACGCCTTCTCTCCTCCCTCTTTCCGACTTGCGCAGGTAGGAGGGAGGAAGGTGGGAAAGAGGAGTAGCTGCGCCAGACGCACGGTGTGCCAAACTTGCAAAATCCGCCTGGCCACACCCAGCTGGCGAAGCGCAGGTGCGCTGCGCCCCCGTCTCGCTGGGTCTGCGAAACTAGAGCCCAACATCTCAAGTTTTACATCTAAATGGGCGTCATATAGCCCATCATTATAACTCTGCCCGCTGCTTACTGGTAAAAAAAAAAATCAAATCTACCCATCTTTAAATTTTTATGACACTCCATGTAAGTGTGACATCATGGGTTGACGGGATGAATCGAAATCCATTGGTGTCCAGGTACTTTGCAGACACATAGATAATAAGCAAATAGATGCTGTAACATTAGCTTACCTCCAATTATTTATGTAAAGAGAAAAAAACATCTTGACTCTTTAATTTTAAACTAGTTTACCTGTGCTAAATTTAAACCGTGAACCACAATAAAAATACTAACAACAATAGTCAAGAAGGTGTTTCCTCCTCAGAGTACAGAAGGTAAAAAAATAATCATTAGATATTCACTTTTCCTTGAGAGTTAGGTGTTTTTTACTTATTTAATGAAACTTTTGTGAATGTCAGATGGAAGAAAGTAAGATCTTTTTGCCAGTGACAATTGCTGAATTTTTTGTAGCTACTATAAAAAAATGGCTAACAGGTTTTGAAGGTTTTTATTTTTTCCCTGGTAATGCCTTAACAATTATTTAAAAAATTGCAAACCTGAAATGCCAACACACATGCAAATATTCCCAAGAAATACTGTAACTCAGCTAAAATTACTGAAAAAGTTGACAGTTGGTGAATTTTTAAAACTCAGTTAAGGAGGGTCAAGATCTTATATGGGCTATTATTCAGAACTGACAATAGTTTATATGGCTTATATGGTTTATATTATATGGTTTATAGGCTTAACATTATACATTAACACTTTCAGCATTCATGTGTGACTGTTTCACAGAAAACTTCTTGTCGAGACTTCTTGTCTTGAAATATCATCGTACAAGAAGACATGAAAATTGAGCTTGACTTGTGTGACATATTTTGCTCAGAAATGGTGGCCTGTGCCATTTCATGCCTACAACGCCCTCACAGACGTTACAAGAAAGTATGACCTCACTTCCTCTTTCAGTCAAAATACTTGAATGCAAACTTTAGAGAGACGCTGTACTCTTCTTCAAATTTTGAGAGTTCAGGATGTAAGATTTACGTAAGTAACTAAAGAAAGAAAATGAGAAGTACATGTCATTGTTTCTAAACTTTGGAAATTTATACTCTTGTGAGGTCATGCAAGTGAACCTGCACACAAACACTCATGTGAGTCGTTTTACTTTTTCTTTTTTTTTTTTGTAAGTGAAGCACCACAAAACCCACAATGCGACCCCTCCCTTACCCTACCATGGATGAAGCACTAACTCCCCAGCAGCAAAGCAACCGTCCTTTTCCGTTTTTGCTTCTCTTTGTTTTATTTTTACGGTGTGAAAGAGAAATTATTGAGCAACGCCCAATGTCAACTGAAAAAATTAGTGTTGCTAGTGTGATTGGAAGTATTGTGTCAGGTGTACAACCAGTGATGGGGTGGGGTAGATTGCAGCAAGTTGTGAAAGTAAAGGAACATTGAATAGGAAACTGACTTTGAGTTAAGCATAAATAAGAGTGTAATTATCCCCTCACTAACCAAAGCTCTTGTAATTTAAGGCTTTTATTTGAATGACTCGAGGATCATTCTTGTTCTAATTAATTTTTCAAGTATCTTGCCCTTTAATAACTTTTATGTCCTCGATTTCTCCACACAACCTCCTCCATTAGGTTCTGAATCATTCATAAGACTTAATTTGGGCTTGTTGAATCATTCAGTTTTTAAGTCATTTACATGGGGGAATAACCTTTAAAACAGTCAAACATTTCACTGTAGGTTGAGGGTGATACCTCAAAGTGAAACTGCACTTTCTGGGCAGCATGTCCACTCCTTATGATTGAGTCAACTTTCACCAAAGAGTTGTGGAGGTGGGGGGGGGGGGTTCTTGATCTGTGTAAAATTCTTCATACAGTCGAGAAGATTACAGAAATATTATCTTATGTGATAAGATAAAAGTTCAATCTTGTTAAAAGTTGATGTAAAGAATTGCTGACTTTGATCATATGAATTAAAAAGGAGAGAAACCAACAAATAAATACAAAATGATCAGGAGTGGAGTGGGTTTTCTTAATCTTAAAGGTTGCACTGTGGCATAAAGACTCTAAGATCAACTCAATAATTTCTTTTAACCAAAAATATTTCTGTTCCGAGATACCCATTGACAACCATCAATACATATATGTAAACACTGAGTCATCTGTGTTTCCGGCAGGTAGTGAACACCCATCTGTTTTACCCAGAAAGTGCATTTGTGGTTTGGCCGATTTGAATACAGTTGCATAAGCAGGAAAGAGAAAGAAATTACAACATGTAATTCCTACAGTTTAAGGCAAGTCATATTTAAGACTTTTTCAGGCTATTCAATGCCAATCAGAATGAAATTTAAGATCAGCTTTACAGTAACTAAACTTGAGGACAAGGGTAGAACAGAGCAAGGAAATATCAACCCAGAGGAAAAGGTTTGATGGTCACAATAGTCCTGTCTTTGTCTCACCAGAAATAAATCATCTTCTTATTTGGAGATTACTAAATTCTGATCTGTTTCTCCTAAACCGTCCTGAGGAGAAACAAGGAGCAGAAGAATAAATCAACTTCTTATTTGGAGAGTTCTTTTGCTGCACTCATAGGCTTCTCATAGGTTTCTCAACTCTGAGAACAGATAAAACACACAGAGTTGAGAACTGAATTTGATCACTGAGACAAATTTTTGAAATTGTGCACACACATTTATAAGCCAATCAAGTTTTCTTATGTATCTTACTGTTATCTCATTTCAGACAAATAAAGATTACTGTGGTGAGAGGGGAAAAGGAGTATTATAAGATCTTAAATTAGAATCAGGCTGAGACAAGAGGAAGATTATTTTAAGAAGAATGAGAAAATGGTTAAAACTTCATAATGATGTCATACTATATTCAGGAGAAATAGGTTGGACAAAGAAGAGATCTTTTTCTTTTTAAAGTTATTTTTTTGGCGGCATCAGCCTTGTACATGGGGTGCCTGCTCTGCCACTAAGCCACCAGCGCCCCAAAGAAGAGATGTTATTTTGAATTTTCCTTTCCTCTTTGTAGCCTTCATTGGTAAAATACATTGTGATTTTTGTCTCTCACTATGCATGTGGGAATCCACTGCCTTGGTTTCCATCGTGCTGAATTTGAAAACATTTTTGTGTTAAAAACACTGAGCCTCATAAGCATTGCCTTGTACCGGCTTCCATGCTACAAAATCTTGGTTAAATAACTGATTTTTGTTGAATTTGCACTGGTAATGTTGTCCAGTTATGCCAGAGACATCCAGTAAATTATTAAAAGAAAGTAGATGTTACCAGTTTTTGAGAATTTACAGTATAGCTTCAGAAAAACGTGACTCATCATCAAAATCCCACTTTACATGTCATAGCATTTTTAAGACTTTTAAAAAATTGATTTGAGACATTTTAAGACCAATTAATGCCCCCTTGTTAGATTAATGGATTCAGTGCCTTTTAAGACTTTTCAAGAATCAGTGGGAACCCTGTAATAATGTGTGCTGAGTGACACCGGAGGGTTTTTGTAGAGGAGATGTGACAAATATAAAATTAAGGTTTCTTTTTACCCAGAGTTATATTTTTATTATATTTATTTGATCATTTCCAATTCTTTAGACTGAAACAGTGTCTCTCTTTGTCTCTCTCTTTCAGAGCTACATGAACTTGCCTCCAGACAAACTGAAGCTGTTGAGTCAGTATGACAATGAAAAGAAGTGGGAGTTAGTCTGTGATCAGGTAAGACCTTTGTTTCATTTATAATGAGTTGTTTTACAATTAACCCTCAAAATAGACTACATGTCTTGAAACTGAGCAGGACTCTGGCACCTGTGTCCCCACTGGGACAGAGGTGACACAAAGTACATAAAATACCCAAAGTGGATCTGTAGGAGAGAGCAGAGTGCAGTGTGAAAACCTTGCAACACAGTTTCTGTGGTGGCAAGTGATGGCGTCGGCATGGAAACAGAAAGCGGTTTGTGTTTGTTGTGTTAACTAGCACAGGCAATAATAGCTTCAGATGATGTGAGTGCTTGTAAACGTATCTCCAGTCCAGTCATCTTTCAGGGTTGTTGATAAAATGAACTCAGTTAAAAGCAGCTTGTGAATCCTTCTCCCCCAGGAGCGTTTCCAGGTCAAGAGCCCCCCGTCCACTTACCTGGCTAAGATTAAGAGCTTCTACCAGGATCAGGGAGGGGTGACTCGCAGGGTCAGTATAAAACATCAACTTCCTTCCATGTATGACACATCTTAAATTTTCTGTCTGCGCAGTGATGTCTCGATTCTCACCTCTTCTGCTTCTTTAGCTGAAGAAAAGGATCCAGGATGCCACCCAGGTCCTTAAAGATTTGGAGATATCTCTTCGCACCAATCACATTGGGTGAGTCCGTTAAGTTGGGTTGGGCCCTATTTGATGTTTATTTGATTATTGATGTGTGATGCGATTTATATGGTTTTGATATATATATATATATATATATATATATATATATATATATATAGAGAGAGAGAGAGAGAGAGATAGATATAGATATATGTAGGTCGTCAAACACCAACGCTTTGGATTGGTAGTCAGACCGAACCACCAATCCAAAGTATCAGTATATGACAATCCAGAAATGAGTCTGAGCATTAGAAAACTTTTTCCAGAGTCACATACACAACCATTTAATGGTTCTCAGTGGAGATTTGTTGTAAACAAATAAAATGAATGTGTGTCTATGTACATTTGGTGCACATGGACCCACTCCAACAAATATTGCTCCACAGTGCTACCAGATAGAAAACTTTATGTTTTCATTATTATGATAAATGGTCAGTTTCAGTTCACTGAGCATAAAAGATGCTATACTCTGAAGAAAGACAGTTGATTCTTCAGTCTAATTCCCAGGTCGTCAACAAATGACAATTCGGGTTGGTGGTTTGGTTGGACTACCAAATACCAGCATTGGTATTTGACGACCAGGGAATGAGCCTCAGCAATCAGCTATCTTTTTCCAGAGTTATCTACAGCACCTTTAACTTTTAACTGAACACCAGTCACTGTTTCTGCAACACACCATTACAGGATGATATTAAAAGTTAAATTGCAGCGAAACAGTTGCACATAAAGTCAGCTAACAGGCTTAGTAATAGCAGTTATAACCATTATTATTTATAGTTTGCTAGCATGGGCCAACATAAGCTGCTGGTCACATCCGAGTAAGGTTGAAACAAAAAACCACCTGCGTGTGTTAAATTGAGCAAGAGTGTGGTTTATTGCTTATGAATTCAGCATTTCCTCTGTAAGAGCAAGATTGGGTTATTTCTTCTTTCTAAAGTTACGTATTTGTATTTAGAGGTCCAATCTGAGTGCAGTATCTGTTAATTATAATTACAAAATATTTCTCTGTCAGTGTTTCATCCCTCATTCTTAATTTTGCTTTGGTTCTTTTTGTAGATGGGCTCAAGAGTTTCTCAACGAGCAGAACAAAGGTTTGGATGTTCTGGTGGAATACCTGTCTCATGCACAAAGTGACGCCTCGTGAGTACCAGCAGGGTGTAAAAAACTCTCTGCAAAATGATAATGCTACATAAATGAAGCTATTTTATCACAGCGGATGTTTATGTTCTATGAACTCTGTAGGTTTGATGTGGAGAGTGTTGAAAATGGTGGCACCCTGTCAGACAGAGGAAAACCAGCAGAGAGGTCAATGGAAGACTTGACCAAAAGCTCCAGTGGCTCTCACGCGCACGGGATGACCAGAGCTGCTCGGGCACTGACTGTAAGGTAAGAGCATGAATGATAATTAAGGTACAACAATTATAAAAAACAGAGTCCAGACCCAGAGATGTTCTATGAATTATATAATTATATCTATAAAGTGCACTCCATATCATGAATTTTTATTAAAGAGGAACTTTCGGCTTATTTAGTTGCCCATGTAATCAAAAAATAGAGTCATGTAAGACAGAAGTGGTGTGATGGTGGTGCACTGTAGTGCCATAGAGGTGACCAGATGCCATGTCATTTTCTCAGAGCTGCCGAACTGTGTCAAATTTATCTGCATCTGTTTCATCTGTTTCGCATATCTAGGTCCAAATTTACAAAATCTTCATTATTAATACAAATGCTCTCATAAATAATGACAGCCCTGATCAACCAACCGCAAAAGATTCTTATTTTTGTAAAATATGAAACAAACAGTGCAGCAGGCTAAATGTCTTTTCATCTTAGTCAATATGCCATTATTATTTATTGTATAGCAGTTTTTGCTGCCCTTCTTATCCAATTTCATGGCCATCTTATTGCTAGACAGCAGTTCCTCTCAAAACTGAGACATTTCAACCATGACGAATACCTCCATTTCTCACACCGTCATTCATTCACATCCTTTGCTCATTTGTTGAGCATTTTATTCTTTATTTTCCTCTCCACCTGATGCCACATTTCAGCTGTCAGACAGACACAGTGGATGTACAAAATAATGCTGGAAGTCTTGTTATAATTGGCTGACTGTGTTGTTCTGGGCCTCAACATGAAACCATGTGCACATACAGTAGCTTCTCTTCTCTTACAGAGTTCATTCATGTGTCTGTGCACTTGTTATCCCTCTACAGAATAAGCTCCACTCTGGGGAACAAGATGCATAAGAAGTCCCACTCATCCAACCAGAGAGATGATGTACATGTGTGCATAATGTGTCTGCGAGCCATCATGAACTACCAGGTAGAGCCTTAACATACTCATGCTTCCCCTACAGTGCAAAAACAGTCACTTGTCTCATATTCTGTCATAAAATTGTGCTTTTAAAGAAAGGGAATTTTTTTGGTGGGGTGACATAAATCTGTTTTCCCACTGCTGTTTCACTTCACTGGTTGTGAGTGAAGCACAATTTTAAATCAAGCAAGTTGTTTGATTTAAAGGCTTATAAAATGCTTATTTTTTTACAGTGTTGTTTTTCTCAAACCAAACACAAACACTTTTCCTGCATCCTTTAACACACCAGCTCTCATGGGGAGCAACTGTTCATGTTTTTCTTGTGCTTTCAGTCTGGTTTTAACCTGGTGATGACTCACCCGCGCTGTGTGAACGAGATCACCCTCAGTCTCAACAGCAGGAATCCCAGGTGAGTGCGTTTGTGTGTAAGACAACAAAAGTGTGTTTTATGTCTGCCTCTATCCATATCTAACCTCTAATGTGCTGCGACAGGACCAAAGCCCTTGTGCTGGAGTTGCTGGCTGCAGTGTGTCTTGTCAGAGGAGGACATGACATCATTCTGTCTGCTTTTGACAACTTCAAAGAGGTGAAATTAGTTTTTCATTAGTAATTTTGCTCTATTGCGATGACCTAATTTGACTTTGACTGTTGCTTGTTCAGTCATACCATTGTTCCAGACTTCCCCTCTTTCATTATTAGTCATCTTATGACTGCCACCATCCACCCCTCACATGCACTGTAGTGTTAATTTTATCCCATGTGGAGCAGTCATGTGTGTTTTATTCTAAATGCAAGTACAATGTACAATGAGTAGGAACCACACCCTGTTTGTGTGGCTTAGATCAGTTACTACATGTAATAGCTATAACTTGTCATACAAGACTAATTTTGCATTAATGCCCCCCCCCCCTTACGCCCCCATGTGGGCACCAATTAAACTGCATATTCAGATAAGTTTCTATTTTTTTCTCAGGTGAGCCGAGAAAAGAACCGCTTTGAGAAGCTGATGGAGTACTTCATCAATGATGACAGCAACATTGACTTCATGGTAGGTCCACAAATGTATTACCTCATCACAGGCAGTCTGTTTGTCAAATAAAGGGAGTAAGAATTAACTGTCATTGTGTCTGCCTCCAGGTGGCCTGCATGCAGTTCATAAACATTGTGGTCCATTCAGTGGAGAACATGAACTTTCGTGTTCATCTACAGTTCGAGTTCACTCACCTCGGGTTAGACAAGTATCTTGGGGTGAGTATGCATGATAATCTCAGTGGCAATGGGTCAGTGTAGGGCTGGCAGGATATCTGATTTTCACGACACCACACGCCATCAGAGTCAAAAGAATCACAATAACAATATAATTGTAATATATATATATATAAAAAATTAGAAAAAACTCCCACACTGGTGAGCTAACTTTTGTGAATGGTGTTTGGAACATTTAGCAGCTAGAGAGGCAAGTATTTTCCTCAGGAGTTCATAGACCATAAACGGAGCTCATAGAGATTAGACTCATATTCATCAGATGTACACAAACACAACTCCACATGAATCTTAATGTTGCTCCATAACTCCTGGATGTGTAAATAAGCAACTGTTTCCTGAGAAGTTATATCGTGGTCATAACTTGTTTCTCCTGCTCGCAGGCAGTCCACAATAGTTCAGATACTGCAGGTTTAAATATATATATGTATAATCTATCAATCTATCAATCTACCTATTCAAGGTCTCTTCAGTCAAGGTCACATTTTTTATGCGTGCCATTTGCTGAGGTTTAAGTAACTTGTGGTGTCAAGCGGGTAAATTCTAATGCTCATAGAGTGCTGCAGAGATTATGGTTTTTTTTTAGTAGGCCCACCTAGGTGTTAACATTTCCCTGGTTCCCTCTACAAAAAGCCAATGGAATTTTTCTACCAGGTTTTGGATTAATGCAAAAAATATATGTTTAGTATACTTACATATTTTGATTAGCAAGGTCATTTTCCACACAAGAACAGCAGTTATATGATTTTTTAAGCATAAATGCAATCGCTCGAAGTATGGAGTAAGTTGTGTTAGGCTATAAACAAATCACACTATGGTCGCATGACTAACATCTGCACCACAACAAGGCTCTAAAGCTGTGTTTGGTGTGACAATGTTATGTTCGTCAGCAACCACCTTTTTGAAGACACGTAAGGCTTCAAAATTCTCAAGTAGGGTATCTAATGATGTATTTTATGTCGACCAAAACAAGGAAGCCTTTTAAGCTCTTGTTAACCATAAACCTTATTTTAGGCATCTAACCAAAAACCCATTCAAAGCACCCATCGACTCTGAGACGAGGGAACCATGAGTGCTTGGATGCTAACTCATTTCCGCGTGGTGCAGGACTCAATCCTGCACCCCTCTATTCTCTTCCTCATTTAATAGGGCTGCTGCATGTTCATCAGTTTCCCTTTACATTTTGCTGATGACAACCTGTTAATATCACATAACTTCCCTGTGCTAAATTGTTCTAATAGAGCCATTCTCTCTCTATGTCAAAACATTCAACAGTATAATGTTAAACAATTAAATTATGAATCAATACCTCGATCAACAGGGAATGAATTGGCATCTATTTTGCAGTCAAATAATCATTTGTTTCACTTTAAATGTTGATTTCCTCTGTTGTACAATATTGTAAACTGAACATATTTGTGTTTATGAGTGTTGATTGAACTAAACAGAACATTTGAAGATGCCACAATGAGCTCTGGAAAACTGAGATAGACATTTTACATGATAATATAGATGAAACAAATCATCAAGTTATCAGGAAAATGGCCAAAATTATCAATTATTTGTAGCCCTGATAATATTTACTGCTAAAAACATAAGATGTATGAAAATGTTTTGGTTTTTTTTATGAGACTTTTGCTGACACTTTAACCTGAATCAGTCCCTATGCCATATGTCATTATTGTTTGTGCTTGTGTGTTAGACTCTGAAGGAAACAGAGAGCGAGAAGCTGCAGGTCCAGATCCAGGCCTACCTGGACAATGTGTTAGATGTAGGAGCCCTGCTGGAGGATGCTGAGAATAGAGGAGGGGTGATGGAGCATGTTGATGAACTGCAGCACCATAACGTACAGGTCAGCTACAAATTAACTGAAACAGGAATTTCTATGAAGAAGAGGCTTTGACATTGTGATATTAAAGCAATGTTGTCTCGTGTTGCAGCTGAACACCCGGCTTCAGGAAATTGAGAATCATTCTGCAGAGAGAATATCTGAACTTGAGACTCAGCTCATGCAGGCTACCAAGGAGACTGAGCTGCTTAAAGTAAGGGCTGCTTCATGACATGGATAATGTTTAATAAGATTAATTAGCCAAGCAAGGTGTGCCATTCTTACAGTGATTACTTATAATGAGGTCAAAAGAGTGGCAGTTCACTTTATTTTAATAATCTTAATATGAAAGTAAAATCTAATTATCCTCAATATAAAATAAGAAAGATGAAAGTATTTGCACATGTCAAATAAATCTGTAAATGACCTTGCATTTTAGCCATCAACACTGGGGATGGCAGTGTCAGTCAGTCTGTGAGTCTGTTGTTCAATCATGTTTCAAGAGGATTACTACTAATGACTTTGGTGATCCCCTGACTTTTCCTCTAGCGTCACTATCAGGTTGACATATTTTGTTCAGACAAATTACAGTAATTGTTACAGAGTGCTCCAGCAATGACGAGTTTCTGTTGGCCAACATGGGAATTAGCTAGTTAATAATTAATTACCTTGATTTGCTTGTCGAAAAGTCAGTAGGATTTTTTCATTGGATTTTTGCAGAAAATAAGCTCTGCGGCAAGCAAACATTCATGATAGTTATTTGTTTCGTTCAGCAAAATAATTTTTACAAATGAACACAACTTATACGACCTCTGAAGCCTACATGCAATTATCAGAAGTAAAAAGCTAAGGTTAGGCTATAAATGAACTACACCACTGTCCCATGACCTAATATCACTTCCACAACAGGGCTGTGGAGCAGTGTTGGCCGTGATGAGGTTCTGTTGTCTCATTTAGCCACTTGTTTGCAACTGCCTTTTTAAAGACACATAAAAGCTTCAAATGTCACGAGTGGGTTATCCAATACTTTGTTTTATGTCAAAGAACAAAATGTGAAAATCTCTTAAACTGTTAAAAACAGACCTTATTTTGTATTTATTTCCTGTGATGTCACCAACTAGCTTGTTGAAAGATGGCTGCACCTTGCTGGTGAAAAAGTGAAATATCTGGTTTTCTAACAAAACCAGGTGGACATCAAGTTTAATTGCAGTGTCATATGTTTCCTAACATTAAAATCAAATTAACCAAAGTCATATTGCCCACTATTTCATCTCCACTTTAAAGCCTGAAGATAGACTGTGTATTATATGTTCTTTGTAGAGATGAGCTGTGTTTTTATATTTGTGTTTGTGTCTAATAGGAAAGCCTGCGAGAGTCCTGTTCCCAGGTTAGTGCCTTGCAGCAGAGAGAACGGGAGCGCGAGCTGGATAGGGAGAGGGAGAAGGACAGGGAGCGTCTGAGTGCCTCCACCCCTCAGACGTCTTCAGAGCTGGAGCAGAAAATCCAGGAGCTGCAGGACAAGGGACTGATCAGACTTGGACGCAGCGCCTCCGGAGGCCTGGACATCCAGGTTGTGCCTGTCACGGTGGTCGAATATGTCCAAGCTCCAGCCTCTGACACCCAGCCTAGCGCTCAAATCTCTGTCACTGCCTCTGCTTCCCCACCGTCCAGCCTTCCTGCCTCTGTCCCTCCACCTCCTCCTCCACCTGCTTCAGGTGGTCCAGAGATGGTTGCCTCCCCCCCTCCGCCTCCACCTCCACCTCCACCTCCTGCTGGAGGCTGTGGGGCTGTGTCTCCACCTCCTCCTCCTCCTCCTCCTCCTCCTCCTCCTGCACCTGGAGGAGGTCCACCACCTCCTCCTCCCCTACCTGGTGCTGGACCCCCACCACCTCCTCCCCCACCTGGTGCTGGACCCCCACCACCTCCTCCCCCACCTGGTGCTGGACCACCACCTCCTCCTCCCCCACCTGGTGCTGGACCCCCACTTCCACCTCCCCCACCTGGTGGTGGACCTCCACCCCCTCCTGGAGCACCAAACCCTCAATCTGGTAAGGATGAATATGAAAAGTCCTGAAAACACTCACAACAGAATGAAATGCTAAAGAAAACAGTTAAGATCTTATTTGTTTGATTATTCCTCTTCCTTTTGTTTCCATAGGGGTTAGGACCAAGAAGCCCATTCAGACAAAGTTCAGGATGCCGCTGTTGAACTGGCAGGCCTTAAAACCAAACCAGGTGACAGGCACTGTCTTCAGTGAACTGGATGATGAGCAGATTTTAGGGGTAAGAAGATGCTTGACAGTTTATCCTGTCTGAAAACTGCAGAGTTAACATCCTTTTTTATCCTAACCTTCTCATCTTCCTCTCTCTACCCCTCACTATGTCTACAACAGGAGTTGAACATGGATATCTTTGAGGAACAGTTCAAGACGAGGGCCCAGACTAATCCAACAGACCTGTCCAATATCAAGAAAAAGGTGGTCCAGAAAGCCCCCAGCAAGACATCATTGATCGACGCCAACAGGGCCAAAAATCTGGCCATCACTTTACGCAAGGGGGGAATGAATCCATCTGTTATCTGCACCGCCATAGAGACGTACGGGCTTTGTAGAAAATTCGTTGCATTGAATACATTTCTTGGCTATCCCTTACTCTCTCTCTCATACACTAACTGGTGCAATCTTTTGTACAGGTATGACCAGCAGTCTTTGTCCATCGACTTACTGGAATTACTCGAGCCCTTCATACCAACAGATTTCGAGATGAAGCTGCTGCTTAACTATGAGAAGGATGGCCGCCCGCTGGAGGAGCTGACCGACGAGGACCGATTTATTTTACGCTTTGGGAAGATTCTGCGTCTGAAGCAGCGCATAAGCACTCTAACTTTCATGGGCAACTTCCCAGATAGTGTCAAACGCCTGCAGCCGGTCAGTTTGTCAAATGCATTGTAACTTGGACCGAAACAGATTTAAGCTCTTAAGCAGATGTATTGATTTTTTGTTTTCACTTCATTCACAGCAACTCAACTCCATCATTGCTGCATCCATGTCCATCAAGTCTTCAGCCAAACTGAAAAAGATCTTAGAAGTAAGTAAAAGAGAATACAGCATGCTGATGTAGCTTCCAAATATGAGATTTTGCATAAATCGGCTTATGTGTTCCCCTTCAGATTGTTCTTGCTTTTGGCAACTATATGAATAGCAGCAAGAGGGGTGCAGCGTACGGTTTTCGGCTGCAGAGTCTGGACCTTGTAAGTAGCATTTGTTTGTACTCGTACTCTTTCACTTTAAAGCAAGACTCTAACTTCAAAAAAGAAGAAATCACATATTATTGCTTTTACAAGTCAATAGTTGAACTAATAAGTAATAAAATTAACCTTTTACCCATTCAATACAGTCATGCTTTTTACTATTACAGCTAGGGTTGAGTATCAAACTCTGTACCTTTCAGGGTACTGATTGAATTATGTCAGTACTACTGAGTACCAATTCACATAAATCCACTGGAGCCAAATGTTGGTACCTGAGAGCGCATCTGGGTGGTGGGTTTAGAAAAGAGGTGAGAGTGATGCAAAGCACTCCAAAACCTGGAAGTCAAGGCTGGCACCAAAGCTGTGTTGGACTGTCTGTTAGCAACTCCGTCAGCTCCCCAGCAAGCCAAAACTGTCACAGCAGCACCGATCTGCCATGATAGTAAAGGCATCTGTTCTATTTTCTTTTCTATATTATTTTAGTAATAGCATAGTATCACTGCTAGACAAGAAGACACAAACACACACACAAGCAGACAGACAAAGACAGAAAATGAGTTTTGTGTGTAATTAGGAAAGAGCAGAGGAGCAGAACTGCCTTTTAGTCTACCACATCACTCATGTAACTTGTTCAAAAATTACATTTTTGTTATTACAGAAAAAGTATTGAAAAAAGGTATCTTTGGGTGCCACTATCCAATTCTAGGTACTGGAACCAGGTTGGTATCAGTTCAAATGTGAATGGTACCCAACCCTAGTTACACACTCACCTGGTTTAGAATGACCAGCGGCAAAACTGTAGCTAATGTTCGCAAACTTTAGATAGATTTACCATTACCCCATAATTGTCACTGGTGTTACTAGTTAAAAGTTACTAGTCTTGGTTTAAGAAAAATGGAATAAACAACTTTGTCAATGTCTTTACTTTTCAGCTGTTGGAGACCAAGTCAACTGACCGCTCGCAGACGCTGCTTCACTTCATCACCAGTATCATCCAAGAAAAATACCCCGACTTGGCCAACTTCTACACCGAGCTTCACTTTGTAGACAAAGCAGCCCTTGGTACATTCACACAAACTGTCAAGCTTTCCAGCTTGTGATCTAAATTGGGAGCGGTACTTAACTCATTTCTGTTTCTTTGCCAGTATCTCTGGATGGCATTCTTCAAGATATCCGCTCATTAGAACGGGGAATGGAAATGACCAAAAAGGAATTCCTGGTGCAGGATGACAGCCCTGTGCTGAAGGAATTCATCAAAACCAACAGTGAGCAGCTGGAAACTTTGATCAAAGACAGCAAGACAGCACAGGTTAGCCCACAGTTCATTTCTAATTCACACAACTTACACATTATTACATGCTTTTAGAGATTTGCACCAATCAGCCACAACATTAAAACAACTGTCAGGTGAAGTGAGTAATATTGTTCAGCTTGACACAATGCAATGTTCTGCTGGGAAACCCTGGGTCCTGGCATTCTTGTGAAGGCTACTTGACACGCACCACCCACCCATACACCATTACACATCAGGTAACCCCCGCTTGTGGCAACAGCACTCCCAGATGACAGTGCCCCCAACCCGTCAGCAGTACAATGCGTCATCCAACACTGCAAAAACTGCTGGCACGAGGAAGGTGACCAGCTCAAGATCCCAATGGATCTCAGATCCCAATCCGATCAAACATTTGTGGGATATGCCAGAACTCCACCTTGCAACCAACGCTCTGGTGCCAGACACCACAGGAACCCCTCAGAGAGCCTGTGTTCATGCTTCAACAGGTCAGAGCCAAGTCTGGTCCCAGGAAGCCCTACCATAAATCGAGCTTAGCTCTGGGGCACTGGCACGTCCCACTGATGCTTGATCAGATTGGAAACTGGGGAATTTGGAGGCCAGGTGCATTGTCTGGCTGAGGGGTTTGGCCGGGAAGTGCATGTCAAGTAACATCCACATGAATGCCAAGACCCAAGGTTTCTCAGCAGATCATTGCATTGTAATGAGATGATCAACATTATTGACTTGACTTGTCAGCGGTTGGTTTCAATATTGTGGCTATATTGCTATATTTTATATTGTTGTCTAACTCTGTACTTCTCCCTCCAGGAGGCATATGGTTCTGTGGTGGAGTATTTTGGAGAGAACCCCAAAACCACACAGCCTTCCATGTTTTTCCCATTGTTTGGACGTTTGATAAAGGCCTATAAGGTGACGATGTGTGGCTGGTTTCTGCTGTTTATCCATTACAGTTGTTGCATTGCATGTTAATTTTTTGTCCTTGATTGAACACAGACAGCACAGCAAGATATTGAGCAGAAAAAAAAAATGGAGAGTGAGAGCAGTGAGGAAAAAGTGTCATCATCACCAAACAAGCCCAAAGTACAAAAGGTAAAATATTAAGGGTCCAGTCTTCAGAAATTATATATCAGAGATGTGTTTTAACTGGTATTCTTTTTTTAATGGTTTGTGCAATTTTAAAGTTTTCAGAAATACTTCACACAGCATAAACCATCATCTAAAACAAATCTGTGACTAAACCCACGACACTCAAACTCTTATGGGGCAGGAAGTAATGAATTTACTTTGATTTCAAATGCTTTTTTAAAAAACTTTTGCTAGGGGCCAATGATGCCTAAGATGCCCCAGATGGACTTGATAGCAGAGCTGAAGAAAAGGCAGGTGAAACCGCAGGTACGCGAGGGGAAGGACGGCGCGCTGGAGGACATCATCACAGGTGCAGTAACCCAGTGCTTCCTGAAGGAGTCACATGGTGATATTTTAAGCATGTATGTTGCATGTTTGATGATTACATGCTGTTGAAACTCTCCAAACTTTGCTCTTCCTCAGATTTGAGGAACACACCATTCAGGCGGACAGATGGTCGACGGCCAGCCCAGCGTCAGGACACTTGAGCCACATCTGGTCCATGAGATTTTACAAATGTAACTGGAATCACACCCATGTATACAGACAGAAAAACACATTTAAAATGCTCTGTATATACAATATACCAATAAATTAGCCATATGACAGTGTGTATTTTTGCCACCATTTTAGTGTGAATTTGTTGTGTAAATAGAATTTGAAGTTTGAACTATTTGATATTTTTAACAGTCCATGAATTTGATTACATATCTTGCTAAAAAATGTTCCTTCAGTGCCTCACAGCTTTGTATCCTCTAAACTTGTAATGTTGTCACCTATGGAGTAATAAAACAAATTATGACTTTATTTTGAAACAGATCTACTGTATATGCATGAGGGTTTGCACTGACACATGATGCAACATTTACAGTTTGTTTCCACGTTTTCTGTTGCTTAAAACAATAAGCCTCATGCAGCAATATTCTCCTAAATTTTTCTTATTTTTTCTCTTAATTTTCCATTAAGAGAAAAAAATACGAGAAGTCATCTCCAGATGCACCAAATGCTCCATTCAAATCTGCTCTTACCCAGGTGTGCTGTAAGATAAATTCCACTTGATCATAAATTGAATCCACATGGCTGATTGTTAAAGAGCACAGGTAATGCCCCCTAAGCACTACATAAGGGCAGGTATTGTGCCGCATGCAAATGCTTTGGCATATGCCCAAGAAAAAACCTCAGCAATAGTGAAATCGATGTACTGTTTAATAAACTTCAACAAAGTAAACATGATTTTCCAGAACGTCAGTACTGGCATTACAGGAAGTCAAAAACACAGCAATGGCAAAACATTTGTGATGCTATAAATGCTGTCTCAACACACAAACTGGAATTAAAAGAAAAGGGCATGACATGGAAATAGAAGCAAAAAAGCATTGCCCAAGCCAAGTGCTCAATGATGACACCTGGAAGAGTACAGGAAATAACAGGAGAGGTGGCACTGACAGGTGTCCAGTCAGATGCTCCACTTGACAGTAATGCCACTACCAGGTGCATCAGTTTTAGAGGATTTAGAGGATTTAGAGGCTTCTCAGAATTTTCCCTTAGAGGGGAAGTTAAGACTAGGTCCTTGTAAAAAATATGTTATTCACAGAGCATCTTAGACCTGATAAGAGCTCCTGAGGTGAAAAACTGTTAGGGGCAGGGAGGAGTGACTTAAGAGTTTTTTAATCAAACGAGAAAAAAGGTGGAAACACAAATAGGTCAGGGAAATATTCTCCAAACGCTGCATGATAGTGAGTAAATGAAACACTACAGATTAGATGGTGCAGGGATAGTATACTCTTAGGCCTCTTAAAAGTCCTTCTCCCTACTCATTAGGAATATGCACACATTTCCCACCTAATGCTATAACGCCAGAAATGAAATGATCACCATACTAACATATATGGAAAACCTGAAAAATTCAACAGTGCAGCAGTGATGACTTGGGTCTGTCTCAACCGGAGAGCTTTCATAGTCAGCAGTTCATTTCACTTTTGCCGGGTGTCCACACCTTGCAGGCTTACAAGAGGGTGCTGACCAGTTGCTGAAGATAAATTTTACATGTTCATGTTGGCGATCTACTGAAAAAAACACCTTAAAATGAATTAAAAGAGCAACATATCAGTGATTTTGAAGCTGAACACACGCAAATCATCATTTTTACAGTCTTAAAAGAGATCAGTGGACTAATAGTATTTCTTTAGCAGAGGTGGGACCAAGTCATTGTTTTCTAAGTCACAAGTAAGTTTCAAGTCTTTGCACTTAAGTCCCAAGTCCAGTCCCAAGTAAAGACAAGTGAGTCACAAGTCAAGTCCCAAGTCTTAAACTTTGATTTGAGTCCTAAACAAGTCGTATGTGCTCTTCGCCAAATCTAATATCATTTAAACAAGTTATATATTTAATTTACAAAAATCCAGAATGCTTTTTAAAATTTGTACTTCTCAAAAAAAGTCTCTTAAAACAAGTGTGACTGAATTTGATATGAAAAAAATAGTGCTGACATAGCACTATTAACCAATACCACAACAGAATATGTTTATGGTCTATGTTTCTTTTGTATATTCTCCTGCAACTTGACTGGATGCCAGTGGATTGGTTTAAACAAAGTAAAGCTGGGGAAATAAGTGTTGACTTGTTGTGAAAGAATAGCATTGATTCAGGAAATAAAGGGAAATTAATTTATTTGTGGCAGACAATTTAAACAACATACCTTTTCATCTTTGGGCCTGGGGGAAGATACCAAACATTTTCAAGTCAAAAGATCAAGTCCAAGTTAAGTCATGAGTTGTTGTTAGCATCCAAGTCAAGTTGCAAATCTTTTTTTTGACTTTGTCAAGTCTGAAGTCATCAAATTTGTGACTTGGATCTGACTGAGTCCGAGTCATGTGAATCAAGTCCACACCATGTTCTTTAGTGACAAATTTAATAACCCAATCATGAAAAATACTCTGAAACAAATAATCATAATTTGATTATATGCTATTCCTGTTTTTGTAAGTCCCTCAAATTTAAAACGTGTGCTTCCCAGCGTGTGAACTACAAAAAGGAGATTAAATCTCCATCACTTGTAAACTGTCATTGGTGAATCCCAGGTATCAGTACTAAAGCAAACAAACAAACAAAAAAAAAAATACGCACAAATCTAAGAGGAAATTTATTGGTATATTCCTTCCTGCACGAGGTCAAATATCACTACTTTCCTGACGACAAGACAACATAAACAAGTCATTATGAAGCAAGATCAGACACCGCCACTGTACAAGAGAGCTGCACTTTATTGGACACACAATCACAGCAAATTATGTACAAAAGAAGGCAGGTTCAACTGCCAACTGTCTTCTCACAGGAAAAACACACACATTTCTCACAGAATATCATGGCATCCACACTGATAAATTAGTATCTCCAGTATCAGTAGGCTTTTAAATTTATATATCATTATATTATAGATCTATTTTCTGTATTATTTTTGTTCTTATATCACACTACTCTACAAATGGGAGAATCACTCTGTGGAAAGAGTACACCATCACCGGTGACTTCTCTGGTTGGGGTGCGTCCCAGCATTCTGAATCCCTCTAGACATCTAACACTCTCTGCCACAATCGTCATCTTCATAGTCACATAACATCACAGTAAGACTGAACATGCCTGTGTCACAGATACCAAAATAACATCTCATTCTTCATGTTTGTAAACCTCTAACACAGCACCGCTTTTCCCTTTCGCTCTTTCTCATTTTTTTGAGAAAACATGTAGACAACATTTTTTTCGACTGCACCGTGCGATTGCTTGAGACTATACATGCATTGTTTTGTATATACCTTTGTACCCATCGTCATAGTTTATTAATAAAACATCTTCTTTTGGACATAACAATTTGTTGAACTCGCTAGGAATGACTTGGCCTATTTACAAGTCAATTTTTGTTCTTCTACTTTTGATGCCAAGATTTTTGAACATCCACACATTCATGTAAAAACCTCATATACATACTATAGAATGTAGGTTCGTTATAAAAAAAGATACAATGGCAAAAGGAAAAGAGAAACTTTTAATTCACACAATTAATTCCCTTATTGATCCATCTTGGTGGTTTTAACGACTTCTGTGGTTTAGCTTAACTGCTACTTAAAGCCACTCAGTGCAACAACTGCGACTGAGTGCACAACAAAATGTACTTCCACCTGTTGTAATGATTTAGAGCCTGTTGTCTCTTAATGCTTATGCACTGAGCATCCACGTTCACATTGCTACCACTCCTGTTCACATGCAAACATGACACAGAGGGAAATTAAAGCCATGTAACTTACTTCTGTCAAAGCAGCAAGGCTCCATATGAAGCCTTTGGGCCCATTAACTGACCTTTCACAGTAGTTACCACAATATCCGTGTTTCTGACCAACTCACTAATACAAGCTGAATCACAAATACAGGATGGGGGGAAACCAAAAATAACAGACCAAAGGTCCAGAAAACAACCCCCTAAAACAAAAAGATAGTAGCAAAATAAGCCCCTAAGCACAGGCACTGGTCCAGCCTCTGGCACCTCAATAGTGACCCTTCACATAAGGAGGCAACGGTGCAGACGAGCTGGACGAGCATTTTCAGGGACAAGCTTTTAAAAAAAATCAAAATTACATAAAATCTAACTCAGTGAAGAAAACCCTAGAATTTAAAAATGAACTTCAGCATATATTACAGAGGCTAACTGTTATCTATACAGATATTTTTAAACAAATATAAAAATGTTCTGCGTATGAATAAATAATCTCAGTGTGAAATGTAATATCTCTCTCAATGAATTAAAAAAGAAAAATCTGTACAAAATGGTCACTAATATATAAAACTGAAGAGATGATGACATTTTACAATATATAATTTACTCTAGGCCTATATATATATCACACTTTTCTTCACAATTATAATATCATACACAAACATCTCACTTAGATATATTTATATATGTATATTTCTCCTATGTTTGATTTCAAGTTTGCATGAGTTTTTCTGATTGCCAGTGGCATCCACTCTAAGTGTCTGCAACATGCCCTCTAAGCCTCCGGCCATGTTGAAATCACAGCCCACTAACACTTGGTTTGAGGGAAAAAAAAAAAAAAAAAAAAAATCATTCCAGAGAGCACTGTCACGCAATTCTGGGAGGTTTCATCTCCAACTTTACTTGGGGAAAGCAGCCAAGCGTGAATACTTCCTCCCCAACGCTCACCAGACGCAAATGCAGCAAATTTAACTTGGAGAGTTATGGATTTGAGTGTGGAACAGCATGAGTAAGTGAATTTCTTTCATTTGACTTCACTCAATATGAAACCCAGGGCTTGAACCTGCCTGGCGAAGCCACAGAGCACCCAGGGTGAGGCATAATTCGCTGTGCTGTGAGCTTGCAGTTTCACATTGTTAGAACTCGGGGAGTGTTTAGTCAAATGCCACCGCTGCAACCTGACACACTCTGCATTTCAAGTGCTGTTTTCTCTTTTTCTTTCTTTCTTTTTTTGAAAAAATAAATAAATAAAATAAAAATGGGAACAAGCCAATTCTTGCAGCCTCTTCTTTGGGTAAAAGTGGTATTCTGTCATTGCTGCTGATCTAATACTGTAATACAAGATCAACTGGGGATTTCTGGTAAGAACAAAGTCTTAGAGGCACTGGGAAAAACATGGTAACAGATCCTTGCAGACAAACAGGCAGGAGTTTCACAAAGGCAAAGAGCACTGCCTTGGCAAAATTGTAAGAGTGCTAATACATATTGCACACACTGTTAACTTGCCTATCAAACTTTGTCCTAGGATTACCTCAAACTGAGTGGTTTTTATTTCACAGACGCCCCGCACCAAAGACAAAGCAAAGTGAGAGGGGCAGGGAAAGAACAGCCGCTTAATGGCGCTCTGACTGTCAGACCCTTCCTCTCATCTCTTTGGGTCTTTTATATCACAAGCGCTCTCGATTGAGACAAGGCAAGTCAAAGCTGGCCTTATTAAAGAAGCCTTCAAACACATGTCCCCAAACTAATCCCCTCTCCTCAAGCTGCCTACTCTTTGACATGATCCCCTTTTGCACGTTTTAATCTCAATGCCACAAAGAATCGATTTCACACGGTCATTCTTGTGAACCACTGAAATAAAAAATAAAAAATCACTTTTTCTATGACTGTCCGTTCAACCTCATCACCTCCCCAGTGGGCAGCCTTAAGGCAATAATATAGGACAGGGAGCTTTAGAATGGTTCCTTGTGCAGGGTTTACACTTAGGGAATCACTGACAGGCCTTTGATGTGCTTTAAATAGTGATAAACTACTGTCACTGATGCACACCAAAGGCCTAACATTCATAAATGTTTCAACATGCAGGTAATAAAACCAAATGAAGCAACGGTAATATTGGTAATCTAATGTATGGTATTTTAAATATGCAGGGATGTTTTTTTCCCTTCCTTTAAGGAACATTTATAGCTTTGTGCTTGTTATAATTAACCGGATTCACAAGGTCAAAATTCGAGGAAAGTGTCAGGCGTTTGAGAGGAAACTGTGCTTGCTTTTTATTTTTATATTCTTATCTCAGGCCCTTGAAGGGTCAAGCTGTATTTGAAGTCTCTAAATATGTGCTGATTAACTCTCTTTATCTTTCAAACACTACTCAAGAGTTGAAACAGTGTCATAGATGTTGAAGTGCGATCACTTCACCGCAGTGAAAGATACATTCTGTTCTAAGAAGGCATTCCATTTTACAATAAGACTTGCAAATTTAGCTGAAAACTTTGGAAGCTGCTTCCCATCAGAGTAACTTTGAAGTTCAAAAGAAACAAGTGTCTCCAAAAGAAGCCACTTCATCCGTCACTCTGTAGATCAGATTCCTTAAAAGGTGAAATTGTGTTCTGGTCGATGTGGCATATTTTACCAAAGTGCTCGATATCAATGGTGCAACAGATGTGACTTAAAACCTTAATCATCACACAAGATTTGCTGAAACAAACAACTAGTAGAGTCTGTGCTTCTGCGAACAGCTTGGCTTTACAAGTGCAGACTGTGTGACAAAATGTGTGTGTTAATCATTACTGTGTGTGCGCTTGAGTCTTTGGGAAGGTTTGTGATGTCAGGTGCCAAAATGCCGGAGCAACCTGTAAGATGCTACTGCAGAAACATCCTGATTGTCATAATTAACTAGTTAATACACATATACAGAAATTCAACATGTCTGTACAATTCACTAGTTGCATTCCTTTCTCCTGTTTGTGTAACTGTACCTCCTGGTTCTATTTTAAATGTGCTGTTAGGACTTCTCCCTACAATGTGCTTTTGTGAATACACTGTCTTTTTCAAATCAAAGATTTTCCCATAATTGTTTCTAATTTTCGATGCAAGGATTTCTTTCTGCAGGGATGCATATTAGTATTCAGTGTGACATGAAATCAAAGTCAGACAGTGGAATGTATGCTTGCAACAAAGCAGATCAGATCACATCAGGTCAGAGATCAGGGCATGAGGACAATCATGTAAACTCTTTACACAGTGTGTACAAACGGAGGGGAAAATATAGCACCAGTTCAGAGTTTAAAACACAGGTGATGCAAGAAAAGCCACAAATGCCCTTTTAACACAAAACAGCTTGAAACCACAATCATCACCTTGATCTACTTTTGATTTTTTTCTGAGCACATTCTGCCAGGTGATGTGAGAGCAATATTATCCTGAACACACAAAACTACTGGACTCACTTGGTGATTATTGCAGTTCTATTTTCTATGATAAAAGTCACAGTCTAGAAATGTTGTCAATTCCACTAACAACCCCAGTGAGTGAGGGTTTATATGAGACTGCTACTGTCAGTAAATCCATCCAGACCACATCAGCTTACAGCAGGCAGCTGGTAGGAGGGGAGGCCCGTTTGTGCGCTCTCTTTCTGGCAGACTGGCAGTATGACTGCGTGGGAGAACTGCAGAGGAACTATGGAACCAGATCAGAGTAGGAAACTTGTCCAAGAAGAAGATTGTGACTGCTTTTACAGTACGATAGTTCTTGCCATGGAAATTTGAAGACTCTGCATGCTGGAGTGATGCCAAAATTAGAGAGGAAAAAGAAGAGGAAGAAAAAGCAAAAAAGTCCTGAAATAAAATATGACACTAAAAAAAATCCATAATGCAGTTGTTTTCTCTTCATGGTTCATAATGTGATGGTGCTTGAATACTCCCGTGTCCTCCTCCTCATCATCACTGAGTGCTGCCAGGGGCGAGGTCCTTATTCACATGCTCATTGCCATCCTCCTTGCAGCTGTTGAGGCTGGAGCTACAACCGCTGGGCTTGAGAACCGCAGAAGGGGGGTTAAGGGAGCTCAGAGGGGTTGGGGAGGAGGGAGACAGGGAAGGAGTTGGGGTGGTGGGTGAGGCAGAAGAGGAGGGGGAGGTAGCAGTGGGAGTAGAGGGGGTGGACAGGCTGCTGGGCAGAGGCAAGGAGGAGGCTCGCTGCTCACGTAGAAGGCGGCGATGTCGGAGGGTGGAGGAGAGGAGCAGGGCCTCAGTGCTCAGACCGGAGGCAGACAGGCTTGCCAGCAGGGCCTTTGCTTGGCTGGAGGAGGCTGTCAGGGAGGGCATTGCCCCCTCCTGGGGGTACTTCCTTAGGCCAGGGGCAAATGCTGCTGCAGGAGAGGGCACTCGGCCTGAGAAAATTCCCGTTTTGATACCAGAGAGGTATGGCTCAATACTGCCACTGGTGCTGTTGGTCCCCAAGGCCTTCAGGTATAGCGGGGACACAGAAGAGGGGGGAAGGGGGAATGGAGGTTTTCAAGGATCAAAGGGAAAATCATGAAAAATTAAAGTCTTAAAATTGGCTGGGCACTGTCCCCTGCAGCACCTTCCCTTACCATTTCAGTCAAACATGCCTGGCGTGCATGCATGCTTGCACACACACACACACACACACACACACACACACACTCTTACACACATCCACAACTGCACACAGATTGGGGTCCAGTGTAGATTTTGGATTAAAAACTGGAGATTTGAGAAGGCTGACAAAGTAAAGGGGGTGGATGGATGTGTGTAGCTCTCTAGTCAGGTGAACAGGAGGAGAAGGAAGCCGAAGAGGCTGGACATGGACAGGTGCTGCTCACTGCTGCAGGGTCACAGGTACAGTAGGTGGGCAGGCCGGGGGTTGCAGGGTGACACAGGTTCACACAGGGTGGTGGGGTGGGTGAGGTTTGCCGCAGGAACAAGTGTCAGAAGAGGTGGAGGGGTGGGGGGTGAAGGAAAGGTGAAAACAGAACAAGAGACAAACACAGGAGATCATTATTCAGGTTGATATCAGCATGTGTGGTGCAAGCCATGAGACAGGCTGCTCTCTACACATGATGACCAAACCACTAATAAACACACCTTTTGTCATATGGTGCAACACTGAGTGACAATGCAAATTACACCGGTGTTGACCACCTTTATTTTGACACTTGTTTTAATGATTATACTCATTAAAAAATGCAAAATAAGCTGATGGACAAGCGGCATCACATGTTCAGTCCCTTTGTGTAATAGTGGAATGAGTCAGTAGATGGCACTGTTCCAACAGTATCTAACTCGTGGGGTAACACGTTTGTCACAACATCTATTTGTCTCTCTTTTGCAGGTGGAGCCAAGGTGAATGCATCTGACAGAAACAGTTGTTAGTTTTATCTGCAGGGTGCAAAACAAGCAGAATACACCAGATTGGTGTCAGGGCTGAGATAAGAGCGAGAAAGGAACTCTTTTACACTTTAGGGAGGTTTTATTTACGCTTTTCATAAGAAGCAACAGTAGAAGAGGTTCTGCAGTGGCTCTAAAAGTTTTAAAAGGTGTTGGTTTAGGGATTATGGGGAGTAGTTCTGTGTGAAAGGAGAGCAGGTGTGCTGGTCTAGACTGCGCTGCTGGGAGGCTTTCACCTGCTCTGTTGCAGTTCCAGAGCCTGTGCTGCCAACCGTCACCAGAGAGCGGGGCTGTTCCTTCTGCTTGAGGAACTCCTCTCAAGCCTGGCCGACACATTTATTCTGGTCTGTGAGTGCAGCAGAGTAGTCGCCCTTCATCTCACGCACATGTTCGCCTGCCAAACGACACCCTCCCAGGATAGGTCTTAACAACCCCCACCTCGTGCCCAGCACCTTTAACTAGCCTGTTTTACCGCCAGAAGTAATAAGAGGCCAAATGGGAAATGGAAATAGGGTTTTGCGGTGTGAAAGTGATTCACATTGTCATGCCCTCCTTGATCTATGCCAAACCAAACGGGGAGAAATTGTGGCTTTGAACTGTCTGTTCTTATCCAGCACATTGATTCGAAGGATCCTCATGCCTGGAATGCTCTAATACCTCTGAGTAAAGCTTTAGTGAGCAGGCGGCGCGGGCAGAGTGGCACAGAACACCATCAGAGAGGCTCTGTTAATTTTAACACCCGCAATTAACACGCATACAGGTAACATCAGAGCCTAAACTTACAAAAGAACCTGATGCTTTGCAAAAAACTTGAGCATTAAAGCTGATGTTGGTAACTTTTATAAAAACAACCTCATCATATTTGCTGAAACTGTCACTGCATCCACCCATAAGTATATTAGACAGATGAGCTGTGAAAAAACCCATGCTCCTCTGCCTCCTCGTACTGCTTCTAATGGCATTACTGCATGTGAATAAAAACAGCCAATCAGAGCCAAGGAGTCTCTGAAACAGCTGTCAGTCATGTCAATCACTGTATGTGCACTGGCGGTCAAACTGTCAAACTAGGCAACCTGATGCCTATTTCTCACATCACATGTTTTCAGAAAAATATTTTAGTGCACAGTTTAGCTGTAAAATGAGACAGTTTGTGACCATGTTGCAAACAGTTGAGTAAAGCACCGCCCACCAGCTGGAGCAAACTTTCCTTGCATGAAAGAAAGAAAAAGCATGAACATAGCAGTTGTGGCAGCTGCTTGCCATCCCCTGTGGTTGGCTTGTCAAGGATGGGGTATTGCAACACAGCGGTTATCGCAACAGCCCTAGAAGAAACACCATTTTTTTTCAAAGACGATCTGTCTCATGTAATACTGTTTAGATGGAGTGACAGTGTCAGCAAATATGACAAAAAGTTATTTTCATAAAAGTTACCAACTGTAGCTTTAATGGCACTTTTGTTGCTCCAGTGATAAAGTCTATTTGGAACACATCATTTGCATGTCCAGGAGGTTAGCAAGAGATAAGCCCTGAAATCTGATTCACCAGGCCAGGTGCTAAAGCTTACACTGCTATCCCAAAAATCCAAATTATAATTAGCTGAATGGCACAATGTTCATTCAACCAGCAAATTTATCTTGATGAAAAAAAACAAACCCAACCCTAACTTGAAATTGGCAAAGCTAAACACGGGACCCTCATGAAACCAAAAAATGATGCCAGTGCATCTTGTTTTAGCTGATTACAGATGGTACACAGTGATGTCTTAAAATGTTTAACTGTCCCTCCAGCTGGCTTTCATGACACGTTAATGTGCACCAGCTGCCTTTTATTTGAACTGGTGGGAAATGTTATTGTGTGGATAATGCCACTGATGCTAAAGGTATTTATATATTTAGATCTATTCATATATTAGCTGGGGGGTGGGACCACTGAGATACTCTAAAGTGGTGTGCTCATTCCTTGAGTTCAAAATGCCCTAGAAATGTCAGTAATCATTCGGCCAGAGGAAACAAAAGAGAACACACCACTGGAAACTCGAAGTAGGGTAAAAGTTTGGGGTCATGTTTAGGGAATTCTGTCCAGGAAAGGTTCCAGAGAAGAAGCATTTTTACCTTAATCTGCGGGCCAAGGAGAGAGGTCACCCATGGTGGGCACGTCTAATTGTCAGAACAACAACATCAGTCAAAGTGTGATCAGCAGGTGAGTTTGAGGGAGAAATGAGGGTGAGGTGAAACACTGTGGTGGCTTATTTCATCATTTTCTGGTTACAACTAAGGCATAATACTGTATGTGGATCCTAGAAAAATAGATGTTGAAGACTGTGACTGTGACACATTCTGCACAAACACATTCTTCAAAAATAACCTGTTCACTTTTTAGTTGTAAAAAAAAAAAGTAGCAGAGTGCTCATATTTTTTAGCTGCCATAATTAAGATTTCTCTTCAAAAAGATCGGGAGCACAATGTCACTGATGGGTTAAAAAAACACCAGGTGAAGTGAACAGAGTCTGCAGAAGTTCTTAATTAGCTCTTATAAGCTGTATGCAAATGAGCCAGCCGGCTTGATAATTTGATGAGATGAGCTGCAGATAATCAGCACGTTTTCCAGCATAGTCCGTGCTCAGCTGTTTCATTATACTGAATTTAAATGTTTTAGAAGACAGATTTTGCTCCATCCTTCTGTAAGCTAAATTGTCGGGATCTGTGCTATTTTCTGGGTTTGACATTAAAGGCAATGGGAATCTGACCGAGAGGAGCAATTTCAAAAGCAACAGCTTGTGGAAACCAACAACACAAGGCTACATTCAGAGCATCTTGCTTCATTAAGGTTTAAAAAGGTTGCTAAAATATTTGTGTTGGCAGTTTCAACCAGGACTCATGGTACAGTACTGTACTTGGCACTGCATGGTTAAAACGGGGTTCACACTTCAAGATTATGGAACCAGTGTTAATAAATAAAGACATTATAAAATAATCATAAAAAATTATATGAAATATTTACATCAACCTAATCTTAATAATTCAAGAAATAATTAAAATTCAACTCATTATTATGTGATGTTATTTCATCATTCATTTTCATAACATCAGAATTTTACTGTATCCCATCATCATTTTTATTTGAATAGACATTTTAATTTTACTTTTTCAAAAGGCTGATTTAATTTAAAATGGCATTTTTCACCCATCACTTTTTTTATGACTTTATACTGTCACTTTTTGTTACAGTGGTGTTGTCGCTGCCCTTTCACCTTTCAGCCAGTGACGTTAATTCAGAATTACTTTGACACTGTTGCCGCTCTGGCTAACAGGAGCTAACTGGCTAAAACTTGCCGGTTTAACATTTCATAATAATGACTTTCATTTTAATCATTTTTTTTCATTTATGTTTTACACAATTTATTTGTGTGATTATTTATTTTATAATCATTGATTTGTTTAATATTTAACACTTTGGGGAGCCATGCACATTTAGATCTTTTTAAAGAAGTATTTCACTGCTGTAAAAATGGTCTTTTCTTAAAACCTTCTATAGAGTAGATGCAAATATTTTTGAAAATAGTGCTACATGCACAGAGAAAACCAAAGTAAAAAACTGTGGCATTTTCTTTTGCTGAAGAGGTAGAAAACCTACAATTCCGAGAATGCACTGCATTACACCGGGCCAATAAATGCTACCACTGGTGGCTGATGCAATGCAAGCTCTTCAGTTTTTACACAGGACACAATATGGCAGCCAGCTAGCAATAAATTATCTTAAGGTACAGTTAACAGTGGGTTAAAATATATTTTTGGAAACATTAGAGGCAACAAATAGACAACGCAGCAGTTTGTTTTTTCAGCCTCCATTTTGATAACTCAGGAAACAGTATGGTGCCCACTTCCTATTCACAAAATTCTTGTATTATAGCCAAACAGTGCACTATATGTTTCTGAAGTCACTTTAGGTGAGAAATAGGCAATACAGTAACATAATCTTGGATTATATGTGATCAACACAGCCTTGTCTTACTGTTTGATCTGATTTTGGATCTCTCAATCTGCTTATACAGTGTCTGTGGTGGCAGGTATACGTAAATGCAGAAGTACAATCTGTAGTTGGAGCAATAGCCCTAGAGCCAGCAGATTTGAGCTGAGAGATGAGCAGGGAGATCTAAGCGCTGGTAGGATGGAGGGAAGTTTACCACAGTTCATTTACACATACTACCCACACTGTTATGATACAAATGTCGCAAAATCGGCAAAGTATCTTTTTAAGTAGCAGTAATGAGCCTAGTACTGTACGACCCAAGCAGCGACCTCCGAGACTAAGAAATGGAGCCAATGTGGAAGTGCCAAAAACTGCAATTTATCAAAAGGCCACTTGAGGCTGGCTCCAAAACAGAGTAAATCCCCATAGACTCCCATGTTAAAATGCCCAACTTTACAGCATAAATAAGCATTTTGACAGCCTGGTACAAAAAAACAGTCTTGGTCTCTATAGCTAATTTCAACATTCATGACAACTGTACAGGGGTGAATATTTATATAACTCAGCCGTTTACATTCTATTAAGACCCAAATTTACGCATATTTATGTGTTATGTCACTTGCAAGGCGACTTCTGGCTCCAAAATACCAAGATGGCGACGGGCAAAGTGCTGAACTCAAGGCTTCAAAAAGGCAGTCCACAAACCAATGGGTGTCATCATGGTAGCTTTGTTCATTATTTTTACAGCCTATGGTACGACCACACTGGATGGCAGGTACATACTAAGAATCCTCTACTTTCTTAACGAATGTCCTGACTATTCTTGTTTTTGTATAACAAATCAAAACAAACTTCTACCTACTTGTGCACTGACTGACCACTTGACCTTTCAACTACTCACTGCATCTCATACTTCATAATGCCACAACAGCAGTTGTTGTGAAAGCTGCCACAGCTGACTGTTTATTCTCTTGGTTAAAGTCAGCTGGTTCTTTTGTTTCTTTTTGTTATTCGTCATGCAATTGTGGTATGTTGCCACCCTAAACGGCTTGGCACCAACTTCCCACGCTGACAATTAGCTTTGAGTGCCCACTGTCCCTCTGAGGATAGCGTTTTCACACATACAGCTTCTTTAACAATGGCTGTTTTGAACAGTTTGTGGACAAAGAGAGTGCGCCGTGAGTGTCATAATGAAATAATGGGACTAATTTTGCTTTCATTAGACAGGGGTAGGAATCCACTCTGCTTCCAAATCACAGAGAACGAGAGAGACTGATGGGGAAAAGAGTAAAAAGGAGAAACGGGCAGCGTGTGTAAATTGCAGAGTACAGAGAGCGGAAAAAGGAAAGAGACATAGAGAAGAGGAAATGTGAAAGACTTAATGGTGGGGAAAGAGAGCTGTCCTCTTCATATTGAATAATCCGTGATTGCCAGTGACTCAAGGGGCGATTATTACATGGCACTGCAGAGATTCCTCCCAATCTTCTCTCAGTCTGAGCCAACCAAAGCTTCATTACGTCCCCATCTCTCCAATCTCTCCCTCTCTACCTAACACATTCACTTCTCTGCAATCTTCAAGACTGAATTTGTGTCTGAATGCTCTGTCAAATTCTTTGGGGTATGGAGGTTTAGGTTCACTTCACTGCTCCTGTTATTTTTCAAATTACATTGACATTAAGCTTTTTTTCCCCTGTGCACAGGAGTGGTGCAAAAATCTCGTCTTGGCTTTACTGGACTGACATGCTTCAACAGTTCAATTTCCTTGCCTCCAGAGGCCATCAGGCATCCTTATGTCCAGTCCTTTACCTTATTTTATAGCACCAAAATGCTGGCAAATTAAAAGCAGGAAAAAAAGGTGGTGAGCCAGCTATCAGGCAAATGTATAACCACGTATGTATGGAAAGAGGTTTCCACAGGGAGTTTTCAAGTTTCTGATATCAAACTTCAGTCATTTTAAGTTTTTAATGCACATTACATTTAAAAATAATAGGCTTCAGACTTCAACAATATATTTTTGTCTGTCTATGTGACAAAGCTGATTTCTCATTCAACACAAACAGGTTAAGTTTTACATGTTCTCATACCAATAGGACAAAATTCAAGACTTACACAAGTCTATTTTGATAATATGTAATGCTAAGAAAATGAGTTTTATAACTTTTTAATTGGTTTAGATACTAAACTTAGAGACAGCTCAAGATTATCAGACATAAAAACACAGTTTGTAGATTTAAGCACTAATCCTCTGCCACTGTCACCTGTCTGACACACGATTCTCTGCGGGACAAAAAGCCTGCAGAGGACACTTTGATATATTTTGACAAACTCGTGATAATGAGACTGCCACAACAATGTGACTTTGGCATCAAAGAATTTATGATCATTAGCTAAACTGGATTTAAATTCAATTAATCATGGCCACAGTGTTTCAAAAAAAAAAAAAGAAAGAAAGAAATATCTTAAACTATACACATTTTGTGGAATGTAAGCTGAGGAGTGAAGCATGGTGGGGACATGCAGTAGTTTTGTGGGGCATGGAGAGGACTAAGTGGAGGTAAAAAGTGAGGGTAAAGGTTAATACTTGATCTAGTCTGAAAAATACAGGGGGGCTGCATGGCTATTCTGGAGACTCTGACCCCCTTTACACCTTGCATTAAGATACATTTGGGGTGATCTGATTCCAATCAAATAGTGCTAGACCACATGAAAGTACTGGTGTAACTGCACTGAGCAAAGATTGTGATCTTTGCTCAGTGCAACCCTGGGGTGGTCAGGGACGCATTGTGACCACACTGAACACAGGTGTAAATGCAATGGCATTTTCAGTCCACATAAAACAACTACACGGGCAGAAATACATAACTGCACACAACTGTTAGAAGCCAGTGAGGTAGCAGCAGCTCTCTCACCTGATGCCAAAGCTACGGGGCACACAGTGGTCTCTCTTTCATCTGATGCTAACACTACCAATACTACATCTCCCTCAGCTGTAATGCATTCCTGTCGGTCACTGTCTTAACAATCATGGAGGCCTGTTTCAGCCCCATCCTGACTGACTCTGACATATATAACAAAGACAACTATAGACCAGCAAACTTTTTTTTTAAATATTTGTTTCAAGGGGTGACCTCTAGCTCACCTGGTAGAGTGTGTGCCCCATATACTGTAGGCTGAGTCCTTTGCAGTGGCCTGGGTTTGATACCAACCTGTGGCTCTTGCTGCATGTCATCCCCCCACTCTCCCCCAATTCTGGTCAATCTCTAGCCGCACATAATAAAGGCAATAAAAGCCCCCCCAAAAGATCTTTAAAAATATGTATGTTTGCTTTTAATTCTGCAACAATATTGTCTCTGAATGCAGCCAATATCCTGATGTGCACACTATGTAATTGTATTTTTTTTTTTAATGAAAAATTCTGATCATAATAGTTGTTGACAGGACTGTATGGTTCTTTGAGCTGGACAGAACGATCGGATGTCATTGTTAATGCTGGAGACATATAATGTAATGCAACAGCAGCTAATCCTTGGGAAACATCGGCTCCTCTGTTTAAGAAATTAAATCTGCTGTCAATTTTTATATTAACATACATCAAACAAATATTTTTATGTATAAATATATGTTTTAAAAGCACAGCTTACCAGATGTATTTAACAACCTTCTACTAATGAACTCTGATGTACATTCATATCCAACAGGACAAGCAGAGGATATTTATCTTTCCTATTACCGCACATCACTTGGGCAATATGCTTTGAAATATGGAGGACCATTACTCTGGAATAATAGTCCTCACTTCATTAAACCCGTCCATCCTTACTCTCATTTAAATCTAATATAAAAAAAACACCTGTGCCATAGTTAATGTATTAGTTATGTTCATGTGTTATGTGTATGTGTCTGTTTCATTTATGATGATTATATCTTCTTGTTTTGTCTGTTATATTCTAACGTATAAGTGAGAAAATTATTTGTCATAGAATACATTTGAAATTCTAGAGGGGAGGTTTTCATCATAAGACCCTTTGGTGTTTATTACCTATCTTGCACAATCCCTGACATGTTTATTTTTATATACTTTTTTTAAAATCATATCTTGTGTACCAATAAAATTCAAATTCAAAATTAGGTTAAATGATACCTGGATACAAGACACATTTTAATGCAAGGTGTAAAGGGCATCTTTGTCAGCTTGCAGAGGTTCAGTGTGAAGGCGCCATCACCTTTATAAAAAAATCAGGTTTCTATATCAAGAAGAAGGTCATCAAAGTTGCCTGTATATGTGAAAAAAACTCCCATCTTACTTGATTTATAGCAGACACAGATCATTGCCTCTTTTGCCCCAGTTTCAGACAGAGGACATAGTAAAAATGCAACGTCTTTTTTATAATGATGATCATTTTCACTTTTATGATTTTTATACTCCACTTCCGTGCAAGCCTTTTTTTTTTATTCCTGAAAAACAGTTACGGCCTTCACTGTCACCCCTGCAAAAGGCAGCCAATACAGAGAATGTCCAGAAAATACTGTTCAGTCCGTCTGAACAGGCAGCCAGATCAAGTGTGCATTTGGCCTTGACAACAGCTAAATATAAGATAATACCTGGTTCTGGCCCTGGCTCTTCAGGAAGTCCTCTCTTCTGCCACTTTTAGTCTTGTCTGTGCTGTTCTGCTGCAGGTGCTTCAGTTTGGAGGCAGCTGAGGAGTGGAGGACTTTACCAGCACTTGTACCATTCCCTCCCTGAAAGGAGAAGAGAGGAGAGGTGTGTGAAGCGCACCTTAGACACACATAACATGGTCATACATTTAATTTTTCCTCTTCAGTGCCTTAGTTTACGCATCACATCAGATGCACATTAACTTCATACAGAAGTTGATTCCAACAAGCAAGTCTGTCTCCTGAGAGACCAATGAGGTTTTTAAGATCAGAGCTTGTTGCTGATACAACTGAACAATCTACTTCAGAGTTTCACCATCTATCAGTAGAAAAATGACAAAGACGAGAATATAGAAACACAACATCAAAACTGACGATGCGTAGCCTAGCCTCACCGCAGGATCCACGAGACAGTGTGCTTAATGATCTTTCCCGCTGAGTTACTCTGTCGACTGTCTAATACGCACAAAAACAAATACACACTCTGGCAAATTTCCATCCAACTGTGCCTCTTGTGCACACAGAGACATTAGCTGAAAGGAGTAGCGTTGAATATCTTTAATCTTTCTCAGCTACAATAATTCAAGGCAAAGAAACCTGCCTTTCTTTCCTTCGAGCCCATTCTTCTCTTGATGTGAAGCTGAATTTTGAAATGCAGACATAAAATATACAGTATATTTAATGCTTTATTTAATGTGCTAATTAAAACTAAACTGTAATGGGGCTTGAAAGGAGATCGCTTGTCAGTATGAATTTGGTGACTACGCAAGCAAATGTGGACAAGAGTAGGAAGAAGGGTCATGTAGAAATGATGAACGTGGTTGAAGTTGGAGTGATGAAATAATGTGTGGAGACACTGTAATCCTCAGCCATGCCTATGGGAATGCTCCCTGGCTCGACATCACAGGGCTGAAACTCACCATGACAGTGCGACTGTCAGTTATTGCAGCCCTGCCCTGAGTGGGAGGCTACATTCAGAGCAACAGGGAATACTATGCAAGCTGTCAAGACATCTCACTGAAGTGGCAGCTGACACAGAAACGCAATAAGTCTTTTGATTATCCCTAATCTTTTGTTGTGTTACGGTCAACTGGAGGTGAGGTGAAAGAAGGCCACTCACAATGTCTCGTAATAGTTCAACAAGTGGTCATTAGATGTTAACAAGAAGTGTATTAGAAGTGATATTTGGCTTCAGTATAAGAGATGGATTTCTATCCTCATGAAGGTTCCTGAGTAGTGGGATTAATAACAAAGTTGCGCACAATTTTATTTACTATGTTTTCAGCCTGACTTTTCGATCAATATTTATTTTTATTTTTTTTTAAGTATCTTTGATATTTTTCAACCTTGACCCTATTTTCCTATGTTTTTCTGTCTAAGGGATTAATGAGAACAACCGTTTTTGAAACTGGTCCAGCACTGAGCAGCAGAACAGGCTGCAATGTAACCACTCAGGGGATATGCACCCACAATGTACTGTACGTCCACTGAAAGTGTTTGGTTTTGCAACTGACCTGTTGTCAGGTTATCATTGTAAGTGTCTGAAAAAACCTACAAAGATAGACCTTTTTGTTATCCCTTGTTTCATCCTAAACAGCCCCAAAATGACTATTGTCAAAGCCACTAGTCTCCTTTTAAAGCCAGCATATTAACTGGATGAGTTATGGGTTTATTTTGACCAAAGCAAAGTTGATGATTGTTGGAACTAGTGTCACAATACTTTAATTTCTAACTTTAATACAATACCTGCAAAAATATCAGTGGTACCTTTTTCAGTACCACAGGGAAAAACTGACATTTTGGGCATAAAATTGAATTTTTTTTATTAAAAAATGAGTATTACAAGTAACATGTTCCAAATCCTCTGCGACTGTCACACATTCAAAATGCAATAAAGTGCAAGTAAAAAACAAAACTGTGTTGCAAGAGCCTATATGCAACCGGAATGAGTAAGACAATGAGAAGACAGCTCTGTGAGTGAGAGGAGGTGGGGCTATGGGGCGGTTTGTGTGTCAACTTATTGTTGGAGAGAAAAGAGAGTAAGAAAGTAGTAGGCTGTTGATATATCGAATATTGAATATCGATTGAGAATTGATATGTATTGATAAATCCATATTTTTGACAACACTACTTGGCACAGTGGTAAGATGAACTAAGACGGTTTTTGTGAGTTTTTGTTTGTGTCAACTCAGAATGTAGTGTGCTTTACGATGATAAAATAACTGTTTATTTAAATAGTTTGGTGTTAGCGATTTTGAGGCTGTTTCTGGTTAAACAAAAAGAATCATACTCTAACAAAAAGGTGTATCTCTACTGCCCAATAGTTGTATTTCTTTTAAATGTGGATTTTAAAACACTGTCAAAGACTCTCACCCTTAGAGTAGAGCAGCGTTTGCCCTCCTTGATTTCTCCAGATCAAAGGGGATTTGTCAAGGGTAGACGTGGCCTCTTAAATTTAGGGAGGCTTTTTAACATAATTTATACTCCATCATCCCCAGTGCCTGAGATTGCTTTATCGCTTGATGCTGAAAAAGCTTTTGATTGGGAGATGTGAAACTACTTGTATTACACTATTGATAAATTTGGCCTGGCTCACAGATTTATTTCATGGATAAAATTCCTACAGCTCATCCATGGCACGTGTCAGAACAAATACTTTGCATGTCCCCTATTATCCACTTTTATCGTGGAACCAGACAGGGATGCCCCCTCTCCCCTCTCCTATTAATTTCATATATTTTACCATTACAAATTAAGCTGTGAACACATAACAAGGTCAGAGGAATCCAACAGAAAAGCCAAGAACAGAAAGTGTCACTTTATGCAGATGACCTATTACTTTATATTTCTGACCCTATAAGCTCACTTCCAGCTGCATTTACCATCTTTCAAAACTTTGGCAGTATTTTAGATTATAAATTAAATACATGCATACATACATAAGAGCAAACTACTTGCTCTTAACTCCAAAGCCAGGGAGATTTCAAAATGGGAAATGAAAGTTGACGGTGCACAAGTGCCCCAAGTGGTTACATTGCAGCCCACAGCTGCTGGCTACAGCACTCTTGCTCCAGGTTGAAAAATACCGAAGTTGCCCTTTAAATCATATTTTTACCTGAAATGACCCACGTTGTATTCTGTCTGTGTTCTGTGAAACACAATCACAAAGTAACTTTTGGTGAGTGCAATAATGATGTGACACAGTACATAAAAATGCCTTTAGGCTTGTTTAAAAAACACCAGATTAGCTGATGTGCCTTGACACAATATTATTTTGTTTAAAACTGTTTCTGAGGAAACGAGAGTTGAATTTCAGACAAAAGAAAGATAAGAAGATAGAGCCGTCAAGTACAGAGGAGAAAAAAAGAAGAGGAAATTTGAGATATATGCATTGACTATGCATTTGTTTTTATTGCCTGTTTAGTGTAACAAAAGGAGAAATTGGCTAGCTTTACAGACAGAAAACAGATGCCAGGACAGATCGATAAAGAAACAATTAACGGCTTTGAGCTCAGTAGGATAGCTGCTCCAGCACTAATCACAGAACAGACAAGTAGGGAGGAAGTCTGTTGTCTGTCCCCTATTACATATTTTCAATTTCAAATACAATTAGATGCTGATTTAGTCAGGGAGCAGACATCAGAAGCCTGAAAATTAAGTTTCAACAGTCACCCATAGAGAAGCAGTGAAGAGAGAATATAGAGCACACTGCTTCAGAGCAGGAATCTGCACAGCAGGTGTAAGCAATGAACCTGGATCGATGCTGGGCTGAAAGAGGTTGGCTTGGGTGGGACCGGAGGCTTCTTTGTCTCTGTGGTTGGACTGCCCGTCACCTGCACAGGTTTGCCTTTGGTGGCTGTCTCAGTGTAGAGCTGCTGTGATGGATGGCCACTGATCTCTATCAAGGTGTTCTCCAGCTCACGAATAGTCTCCTCCAAGCTGTCCAGCCTCCTGTAGGTGCTGAGCCGGATACCTTCTCTGCGTTTCCTCTGGATCTCGTTGGATAGACTGTCCGCAGAGCTAGGTAATCCACTGGACTTCTGAGTAATGTTTACTGATGTCTGCTGTACCTCAGGAATCTTAATTTCAGTGTTGTGTTGAAGTGTCAACACTCTGTCCCCTGTCTCTATCCCTCTCCTCAGAGCATCCACCAGACAGCTCTGCTGGCCCAAGTGGAGGGAGGAGGACTTTATTCTGGGTTTGGGCACCGGCTTGGATGGCTCCAAAAGGGAATACAGCAGCCTGTAGGCATCCCTGATTGTATTTAATTCTCTGAGGAGCACTAGTAGAGGCCGTCCACTCAGCTGGACCTCAGGGACTTCATTAGTCTGTGGTGAGATGGTCAGAGTCTGCAGAGCTTCTCCTATAGTCCTGCTGAGCTCCTGGACCTCAATGGGAGACACTACCCTCACCTCCAGCTCTGTCAACAGCAGGGCAACTTCCGGTTTTGACTCCATGTCCTCCTTAAAACTACGCTGCTCTTGCTCTTGCTGAATAGGGTTTTCAAATAAATCCTTTTCTTTTAAAGTTTGAGTCTGGTAGACGGTGTGATGACCAGTCCAATCTTGTGAACGACTCTCTTTTCGAGGGTAATTTACTGAATCTCTGACAGGATCCTCTGAGGCAGTGGGTGAAGCTGGCAAACACTCTGTCAACATGATGTGGGGAACAGGAGACAAGCACCTTCCCTATAAATGAGGAAAGCACTTGAGGTTTAAATTTTAACACAATGAACTGGTTATAGCTTCAGCACAATCCAACAACTTGTGTGAGATCACTGTAGACTCAGAAAACCAAAAGAAAGAAATGAGTTAGCAGTTTCAACAACCTGTACGTTATGTATGTACAGTACAGGCCAAAAGTTTTGACACACCTTCTCATTCAATGCGTTTTCTTTATTTTCATGACTATTTACATTGTAGATTCTCACTGAAGGCATCAAAACTATGAATGAACACATGTGGAGTTATGTACTTAACAAAAAAAGGTGAAATAACTGAAAACATGTTTTATATTCTAGTTTCTTCAAAATAGCCACCCTTTGCTCTGATTACTGCTTTGCACACTCTTGGCATTCTCTCCATGAGCTTCAAGAGGTAGTCACCTGAAATGGTTTCCACTTCACAGGTGTGCCTTATCAGGGTTCATTAGTGGAATTTCTTGCTTTATCAATGGGGTTGGGACCATCAGTTGTGTTGTGCAGAAGTCAGGTTAATACACAGCCGACAGCCCTATTGGACAACTGTTAAAATTCATATTATGGCAAGAACCAATCAGCTAACTAAAGAAAAACCAGTGGCCATCATTACTTTAAGAAATGAAGGTCAGTCAGTCCGGAAAATTGCAAAAACTTTAAATGTGTCCCCAAGTGGAGTCGCAAAAACCATCAAGCGCTACAACGAAACTGGCACACATGAGGACCGACCCAGGAAAGGAAGACCAAGAGTCACCTCTGCTTCTGAGGATAAGTTCATCCGAGTCACCAGCCTCAGAAATCGCAAATTAACAGCAGCTCAGATCAGAGACCAGATGAATGCCACACAGAGTTCTAGCAGCAGACCCATCTCTAGAACAACTGTTAAGAGGAGACTGCGTGAATCAGGCCTTCATGGTCAAATAGCTGCTAGGAAACCACGGCTAAGGAGAGGCAACAAGCAGAAGAGATTTGTTTGGGCCAAGAAACACAAGGAATGGACAGTAGACCAGTGGAAATCTGTGCTTTGGTCTGATGAGTCCAAATTTGAGATCTTTGGTTCCAACCGCCGTGTCTTTGTGAGACGCAGAAAAGGTGAACGGATGGATTCCACATGCCTGGTTCCCACTGTGAAGCATGGAGGAGGAGGTGTGATGGTGTGGGGGTGTTTTGCTGGTGACACTGTTGGGGATTTATTCAAAATTGAAGGCACACTGAACCAGCATGGCTACCACAGCATCCTGTAGCGACATGCCATCCCATCCGGTTTGCGTTTAGTTGGACGATCATTTATTTTTCAACAGGACAATGACCCCAAACACACCTCCAGGCTGTGTAAGGGCTATTTGACCAAGAAGGAGAGTGATGGAGTGCTGCGGCAGATGACCTGGCCTCCACAGTCACCGGACCTGAACCCAATGGAGATGGTTTGGGGTGAGCTGGACCGCAGAGTGAAGGCAAAGGGGCCAACAAGTGCTTAACACCTCTGGGAACTCCTTCAAGACTGTTGGAAAACCATTTCAGGTGACCACCTCTTGAAGCTCATGGAGAGAATGCCAAGAGTGTGCAAAGCAGTAATCAGAGCAAAGGGTGGCTATTTTGAAGAAACTAGAATATAAAACATGTTTTCAGTTATTTCACCTTTTTTTGTTAAGTACATAACTCCACATGTGTTCATTCATAGTTTTGATGCCTTCAGTGAGAATCTACAATGTAAATAGTCATGAAAATAAAGAAAACGCATTGAATGAGAAGGTGTGTCCAAACTTTTGGCCTGTACTGTATGTCTAGAAAACTTCCTCTTAAAATAAGTATCGGTATGTGAACGTGTGTGCTCCTAACATGTGCATTTGATGTGCTGTCTGTGTAGTCTGTTCCATGAAGCTCCCTCTCAAGTCTAAAGCAGTCCAGTAAGGTCCCCATCAGACAGAACATTTTGTAACATGCAAAACACACGTGCACAGTAATGCTTTTTTGTTTAGGCCTGCTTCTTTTTCTAATTTTGTTTTTTAATACTTAGGCAACTACCCAATCAGATGTCCTTAGCATAAAGGCTATTTTGCTGTGAAGCAAACAATCTGCATAAAAAAAACAAACCAAAAAAAAACAAGTGGAGGGCACCTATTCTTGCTCTCATTGAGGGTGAGAGAGAAATATGAGTGACAGAAATATGAGTGGGTACATGAATCTTTCGGAAAGAGGAGAAGTCACATGGAGAACCACCAGCTGGTCCGGCAGCTTCACAGGGATGATGGTTGGTTGAAGGCTTATTTTAGGATAAGTCTGGAACAGTTTGACAATCTGCTGTCAATCGTCAGGCCTAATCACAGTTGAGAAAACATTATAAAGTAGCTGAGACTACGTTTTTTTCAGATATGTCTTGCAGCTCGCGTAGGACAATGCTGAAAGTGAGCTTAAGTTAGTGCCCCGCTAACTTGTTGCTATCGCCACCACAGGATGCTCAACTCTCAATTCATCTGATTGGACAATGGACAAAAAAAAACAGCAGTGATGTCAGGTGCTTTTCCATTATGATTGAAGTTTTTTTCAACTCAAGGTGTTCAGGATGCTCTTGCAAAAATGTGGGTTCATGAGATGGAAAAATCAGAGCTGATTCAGCAACGCAAATGCACCACAAAGAACGCTGAAAACATTCTAAAAAGCCTCTGCAGGCTGTTAAAACACACTCTGTCTGATTGGGACCTAAAGCACAGCTGGGCAGCAGTCTGACACAAGTTTTTACTAGTGATCACACACACACACTACTAACTGGCTCTCAGACACCACAACATCAACTGTAAAGCTATTGCAGAAAACACACACACAGATTGTCCCTTGTGTGGTTGTGAGGGACTGATGCATTCATATTATGTTGTACAAAAGAACGCAATGTGCATATAGTTTTGTGTCCAAAGTATACTCATGTGCCAACGATGCTTCTAAATAACACTGTCTCTTATTTTGTGTCACGTTAAACCTGCATTAATCAATATTCTCAATTTCACATTAAATCAAATGAAGAGTGTATTGAGTCTCAAAGCTGTGATCAACACAGGTAGCTATATTTCCAGCAAAAAAAAAAAAAAAAAAGCAAACAAACAAACAGAAAAGAAACTGTGCACTACCAGCCCTGACTGACAACAAATGACAAAATAGCTTATGAAGACCCAGATATCAATGCAACTTTAAGTTGTGTGTGTGTGTTCGAATGATCACCCTATCAAACAATTACATTCAGTTTATGGAGTTTATACATGGTTTCTCAGTCTCTCCACACCAGTTTAAGCTGCATAATGCAATAACAACACTGCAAAAATTAATTAGAGACAGGCTTTTGTGGAAATAAGACTTTGTGTTGGTGAATTCTGCACATTTTTGGTTGGGATTCTATAAACGCAGAATGCACACACATTAATAATTTGTCAGCAATAGTATCTGCTGCAGGGAGACTTTGTGTTCACTCAGCTTGAAGAGATAGGAGGAGTGGATGTGGCTGGAGGCTGAGCAGTAGCTGGTGGTTTCTGTGTGTTGGGGTGAAAAGGAAAAGAAGGTTTAAGAGGGCAGCAATCCACAACACTCAGGGTCAGCCAGTGTTACCTCGGTGCCTGGGGCCTCAGAGGACCACAGGTCCAGCCTGCAGGGGGGCACACTTTTCCTGCTGCAGGGGCTAACAGGCAGGGAAAGGGTAAGGGGAAGAGCGAGCCTGAGCGGGACTCTCTCAAACAGCTGGGGAAGGAAAAACGAGGTTCAAAAGCTGTCATAAGCTGTAGGCTAAAAACACAATGGCCACTGAATAATGGAAAATCAGTTTTTGTTGGGTCTGTGTTGTATCAGATTTTAGGCAGGCCATCTCAAACACAGTCCAAGCAGCCATCAGGGTCCATCTGTCTGGTTGTGATCTGTGAGCCCTGGGTGATGATGTGTGTGACTGAGCAGTATGTGATCTTTGGGCTCTTCCAGTGCCAGGGGGCAGGGGGACATATGGCACCTGCTGCTTGAACATGTGGTAATGATGGTGAGCATGTCTGCTTGTGAGAATATGTGCACGCAAAAGCCAGTAGCAGATTGTGGACTTAACATAAATAATAAAAAGAGCGCAGTTTTCCAAGTCATTGAACATCAGCCTATTGAGGATATAATCAACATAATGCACAACCCATGTTTTAGTTTACCTCCAACTCAGCAGCAATTTTCTCCTCCTCTCCTTCCTCCTTGTCCCCGGAGGCAAGTGTGGGGGGTGTAGACGCAGGGCGGGGGTTTTCAGACACGGCCCTCCTCAGTTTTACATGAGGCTTCTGGCCTTCAGTCTCTTCAGATTCGGACTTCTACAAACATAAATACAAAAAAGGAATTTTATGTATCTGAAGCCAGTGTCCATCTTATTGTCAAATCCAAGAATATTCCTTGTCTTAATTGCACAATGATACAGTGTAAATAAAACTATGCTCCTGAATTTTCTTTGTTGTACCTTTATACTTTTTCCAGGAATGAGGGGCTCTCCGCTGCGGCTTGTTATGCCTGGAGAAGATGGGAAACTGCGTCTTGGTGGTGGAGGAGGAGGAGACTTGGAGGGTTTCTCTGTGCGATACCGTGGTACTGTCAGCTCATCTGGAAAAGGATGTAATTCAGGCATCTTGAGAAATGACTCATACAGTGACTTTGGTGATTTTAGAACATACAATGAGGCATTTGTAGGCATTGTATTATGTGTGGTGTGTAAAACCTGCTTCACTCAATAGTGAATGCTATCTCAAATGATTTATTGTATTTATAATACTAAGAAACTCTTAATATTCATGCTGTGTCTCCTGTTTTGATGATTTTCATATTTTATTCCAGTTTAGGGAACACATGTTCTTGCAGAAATCTGATGACCTGCAGGGCTTGTAAAACTGTTTAAAAGCTACTTGGATTAAATTTAAAATGCACAGTGGTTACCCTGAACACAAGGCTGTGTTTCTTAGCTCTTAAAAAGCTGACAACTTAAAGAAGCAAAGTTTCTCACCAGAGCCACGCCTGGACCCTCCCTCTTTCCCAGAGAGCTTGTGCTGTGGCTTGCTGATGCGGTGCTCTGGGGTTCCTGCTCCACTCTGTGGGTTCTGGGAGGATGGTGTGTTGGAGGAGGGCTTGATCTGCTTGGCAGCAAAGTCCAAGTCTGGAATAGCTTTCATTAGTTCAGCCTGGGTCTCCTCCAGTAACCGGTTGATGTCTTGGGCACTGTACTGGGTCAGACTGGCCCGCTTTTCTTCCCAGTCCCGCTCTGCTGCCTGTGGAGAGGAGAAACTGATCTAAGCACGCAGCCAATGTGGTGCTGTAGTACTGGTGTAACTATGTTGTGACATGATTGGTAATGACAGAGTTAGCAGTGAAAGCACAGAAGAAGAAAGTGAAAAATAATTCCTACCAGTCGGACCTCCACAGACAAAGCTTTGTCAGCTAAAGCACGGCGTTCCAGCTCCTCCAGGGCTTTGCCCTTGTGGGGAACAGGAGGATGATTGTCCTTGTGGGGGCTGGACATGTTCCCGTGGCCACGGCTGAGGCTGGAATGGGGACTCCAGTTGGACAGGCTGTTGCCTACCCCAAGGTCATTGATGGTGAGTGGCGGGCTGGTTGGGATGTCAAAGTCTGAAAACTTTCGCAAATCATCGTTGTGCTTTGATGAAGGACTAGAGAAATCCTCCTGCTTCTTCCACACCCCCTCATTCGCTTGTCTGGGAAGACATGGAAGATGGATTCATTAATCAACTCTTTGAATTGTAACAGACAAAAACATGAATAATCCATGACTCAAAGTGAAAACAATTGTTGCTGAATGCCAAAAACATCAAGAAAGCTCCAAACACTGTGAAGGACACAGACCTCTGCCAACACTGAATGATTCTTTTACCCAAAAAGATGAGAGAAAAAAAATCTAATTTGATAAGCTCTTATGATCAGTGAGGTTAATTAAACCAGAAAGTGGGTGCTTTTTGGACACACAGCTGATTTGAAGATAGATGACAAAATGCTGAAGGGCACATTTTAAAAGTCCAAGTCCATGCTCATCATAAAATTAAAACATATTTATTCATATGGCTGAAAAGAACCTTCATTAGGGTGTTACCCATAAAGCTAAGCGATCACATTAATACTAGCTGCTTGAATGCACCCTTCAGGACACCTTTTTTTTCCTACATAAATTATGATTTTAAATCATCTCTCTGCCTCTGCTAGTTTTAAGAGCTTTGGCTTAAAACAATAAATGTTTAATGAGGGAAATCTCTGATCTGATTCAACAACAATATCTAATCAATTTTCCTTGGTCCAAGGCCTGTCTGTCCACCACATTTTATGAAAATCCATAATGTTCTGCTGACACACAGACAGAGTGATGAGAACATAATCTCTTTGGCAGAGGTACAAATGGAAAAGCTTTCCTTAAATTGATTCACTATGTGTCACCGTGTAAGAATTTACTGCATAAATGCTTTTCCATCAGTATTTATCATACACTGTATAAAAATGAACGTAGCCACTGTGACGTCACCCATTGGTTTATGGACTACCATTCTGAAGATTCAAGTGTGGCATTTTGACCATTACCATCTTGGATTTTTTAAATCAAAAGTGACCATATTAGGGCAAGAGGGTGGAGCTAATCCTAAGGCTAGCTGCTAATCTGGTAAGGTCGGTGCATTTATGGATAACTGTGATAATGCTGATGCTAATTTTCACAAGCGAACTGAAGCCAACTGAACACTGACTTTTTTAGGTGACCAAAATGTTACAATTAACTTGCATGAACCAAACATACACAGTAACAGTGACAGCTATGGCTGTGCCTATACTTTACGGGTTACGGCATATGTTACCTTCCCAATGTTGTCCCTGTAGTACTTGACTTGTCAAAGAAAGGCACCTACCTGTCACTCATAGCAGCCACGCCTTTAATTATGAATAACTTCAAGCCTTAGAAACATTCAACAGGTGAGTTATATAGTAACTCACACCCCATACAGTTGCCATGAAAGGTGAAATTAGCTATAGAGACCAAAACTGTTTTTGTTTTTGTACCAGGCTGTAAACATATTTATTTCTACTACAAAGCTGGGCATTTTAACATGGGGGTCTATGAGGACTGACTCCCTTCTGGAGCCAGCCTCAAATGGTCAGCTGAGGATCCACAGTGTTAGGCACTCCCGTGTTGGCTTCATTTTTCAGCCCCGAAGGTTGCTGCTTGATATTTATAGAATAACTTTTAACGTTTCCATCTCCAAGTCAATGTGAGGACAGTTATTGATAATTTTATTAGTTCAGCACAAACTGGCTTTCTTTAGCTGGCATATAAAGCACAAACGTAGTGATAAACTCTCTTGCTCTCAGTTAGTGCAGTTTCATACTTGCGCATGGTGGCGAGGGTGTCAGTTATAGTCTTGCAGCGTTTTAACAGGGCATCAAGCCTGTGTGGCTCTTCTTTCAGGAATTTGACGGCCTCCACCTCCACCCTGAGCACCACCCGCATCTTACTCTGCAGGCCTGGAAACTGATCTGCAAGAGACAGAAGATGAATAACAGAGAGCCAACCATATTCCCCCAAACAAATCAGTTCTACTTGTCAAAGATGTTGAAAGCCTTTTGTGGCAATCAAAAAAGAAAAAGAAAAAAACAAAACATTTTGAACTACTGTAAATGGTTAGGGAGTTTATTGAAACAATGAGCATTCTGAGACTGATTAAATGTTTGACAGACTGGCTGTGGGTGACTAAAGGATAATCAGTGCCTTGGTGAGTAATTAGTGCATTATAAACTGTCTGCCTGAGTAAAAGACTGTGTTTTCTGTTTTGTGGCTGTGCACAGAATGTGAAATGCGCCAGTGTGACTCACTTTTCAGTTCTGTGAGTGTTTCTCCCAGCTTTCTCAGAACAGTGGCCTTCTCCTCCAGCTCCTGCACTGTCACCAGCTTGTGGTTGACAGACGACTCCTTCTGGATCTCTTCCACTGACTTCTCCAGGTCGCTGAGATGGAACAGACAGAAGGCTGAACACCAGGGATTCCTCTGCTTCCCTTAATACTGAATATTTATCTCAGAATTATGCTATTTGAGTGACGGTAAAACTTCTGCCAATAAACTGTCTCTCAATCAACTGGCAGCAAAATCAATGGCTCTGGACAACTGAACTGGAGGAGTGCGGCTGGGTATTCAAAAGTTTCATGCAATTACTGAGGTAAGATGGAAAATCTGCACAAATGTGATCTTGTAATGCTCTAAAACTGAGTGTCTGAACTGGCCAGATTAATGTCATATAAATCTGCCTTAAGTTATGTAATGAATGAAAGTTCCATGTATAATTAACCAAAATAAATTGGCCATTAGCCAGCCTGAATAACTGACATTGATTAGCAGAGATCATCTAACAGTTCAGCCAATTAGTCTGCAATCAAAATGCTGCTCAGAGCAAGATTCAGGAACTCTTTTAACGCTCAGAGTGAGATCTAGGACTTATTACCGCAGAACATTTCCACATATAAGACAGAAGCAAGTTATCTGATTATTAAATCTCAAGGTAGCTCTCTGCTCTGGTTTTGCAGTCACTTCAATTAGTTGTTGGACTGTCTCATACCTCAGATCTTAATAAGCATCTTGCTCTACGCAGAGCTTAATTACAGTTACAATTTCATCCTATCACTGCGTCACTTCGTGAGTCATCTAATTATAAAACAGATATGAACTTTGTCATGTTTGAAGCAATTAAGAAAGACGCGATAATACTCATCTTAAGCAAGATAACTGTCAACTTATATATTCATTACGCTAACTCATATTGGTGCTGTAGTAGAATTACAAGTGAATAAATTTCACTTTTGATTACTAATGTTTGGATCATTATTGATTGACGAGTTGGGGATTTCAACAACCCTGTACTGTTCTACAATCACTGTCTGACATTATTGCTTAATATTACTAAGACTTATCATGTCACTGACTGGAGCTGCTGGATGATGAGCTCCTCCTCGTTGAGGTACTTGAGTCTCTCCTCCTCCACCAGAAGGCGCTGTCTCTGCAGAGGATCCTCCTGCTTCCTCAGGGCATCGGCCACACGCACGTTCAGCTCCGCTTCTGTCCGCTTCAACAGAGTTCGCACTGAATCCTGGTTTTCCATCTGCACACACACAATCACACAATGATACAGATAACATATATTGCTCTTACTTCAGTAGGGCTTGCTGCACACTCTGCAGCTATTTCGAAATGAACTGTATCAATGTTAGCCTCGCTGGCCTCATGAGAATAGCTTGTTGAAGATGTGAAATCTGTTATTGCTGCCATCACAACAGAACAACAGAACAACAGGACAACAAGGCGGAGAACTGTAGCTGCCTGAGGCTTTTCAAAACAGACCTCAGTGATATACTGCAAGTACACATTCTGATTTGCCCTGTCCTTGAGAGGGCAGGCTGTGGCCTCTTGTTTGACTGCACAACCTTCTCTGCCTTGTCATGCCAGAAGAACATTTTGCTCTATCCTTGACTGCTTATATGTTTTTCAGCCTTAAAAGCACTGGCAGATGCAGCAAGTAGGTCCCTCTGTGGTGTGTGTGTGTGTGTGTGTGTGTTAGGACATGCATATAATGTTCCTCCTTACACAGAAAGTCGGGATGCCCTAAGGAGAACAAAGGCTGTCCATGACAGGCACTGAGCGTGAACTCAGCTCCCTCTCAGAGTTATCAATGGAATATTCTACAGGACTACTGCATGTAATACAACTCCCTGAAATGAAAACACCTGGTAAGCAAGAAAAATTAATAATTGATCAGCCTTATGTTCCAGGAAGTGAAGCAAGACAACATCACTAACATTTTAAAATACCAAGTTTTCCCCATTACACCGCCCATAATGATGCTGCAGCGCAGCAAGCCAAACACAGGGAATATGATAATACATTTCTAAAAAATATTAATATATACAGAAAAATACATTTTTCGATTATTTTTTATCTTGCAGCACTGGGTTTCCTCTCTCCCAGTTGCCTGCTTCCCTGCATGCTCCCTCTGTATAATTAATGAGCCACATGTAAAATTTAAGCTGCTGGCCATCACCACTGGCAACAACATGGGTCCAGGTGCAGAGGTCACACTTGGGCATACATACAGGTAAACAGCAAAACTGCCCTCTCTGGGTACAGCATAGCCTCAATGTTTGGCTCTCTGTCTTGCTACTTAGCCAGTTCAAGAAGCCGTTGTGACTGTTGTGAGGGAACAAATAAAGGCACTGCATGCCAATCATCTGTCACTCCCATTACTCCTTCTTTTCTCTTTCTCCTGCAAAAGACGTGAATCTTCTTCTCTGCCAGTGAAAGCATTTAACTCATCATCTCTTCCTGCAGTAACCATAGCATCACTGGCATCAGAGATAAATGAAATAAATGAGGTCCTAATCTCCACATTTCAGTTAACCCTTCTTTGTGGCATTTCATCTGGCTCTGCATCCATCACTTTCTATCTCTGTAGAATACCATACCATGTGAACTGAGCTTTTATCTTCCACTCATTCTGTTTCATTATTAATCCTCAAAAGGTACAATGCCCTCAATGTGTCATGCAGTACAGCTATGTGAACCTGCAGGTGTTATTTACTGTATGTAGGTAGGTATTGAAGTGAAGATCAAATAAACATCAAAGCCACTGCTCCTGCAAACGTGTATGTTAAAATACTGTATACTACACATTCTACATCACTGAAATTTTAATTAATGACTGCATGTGGAAAATATTTTAAATACTGGAGGCTAATTTAGCCATTTCCTACCACTTTGGGTCAACTTGTAGACCTCTACACCTAAAGCAAACCACTCATATAGTGTGGACCTTGATTCTGCATGACTTGTCAACAGTGAGACAGGAAGGACCCTGCAATGAATTGCTCTTATCAAAATGATGCTAACTGATTCACTGAAAATGATCACAACCTATTGACAAAGAAAAGCCAGTTGATGATATAGAGTTATATTAAAAGAGGTGTAAAACATTGAACAGCAAGGAAAAAAAGAGAAATTATATTTATCTATATGGCTAGGTACTAGAGGTACAAGGATTAGTCAATGAATCAATTTGGCGATCAACAGAAAATTATTCTGAAACTATTTTGATAATTTAATAATTATTTTAGTCATTTTTGAACGAAAAAGAGCCAAATGTTTGCTGGTTTAATGCTTCTTAAATGTGAGAACCTGATGCTTTTCTTTGTCATACAAGATAATAAACTGAACAGCTTTGAGGCTTTTGGTTGGATAAAACATACCATTTCAAGACGTCACCTTGGGCTCAGCAACATTACACAGAGCATGTTTCACTATTTGAAACTACTATCTGACATTTTATTGACAAAACTATTTATCAAGAAAACTAAAATGACCACCTCGAGGTCAGTCAATTTGCAGTAACAGTTTACATCCATATCTGTCCAGACTCACATGTAGCGGTGACAGTTAACGATGCTTTAAATATGGATGTTGCTGCCCAAAAGCTACAAATTCTAAATCGTGGATGTTTCAGTATCTGACCAAATGTCTCCCATTCTTTTTCTGAGATAGGACATTGAGTAGTGGCCAGAAAAGTGTTTTTGCTGAATATTATGATGTCACAGTGAAGTTGACCTTTGACTTTTTGGATATAAAATGTCATCACTTAATCATTTTATTCTATTAGACATTTGTGAGAAATTTTGTCATTTTTAATTCTTGACTTATGGCTGAAAACATGTTTCGTGAGGTCACAGTGATCTTTGACCACTAAAATCTAATCACTTCATCATTAAGTCTAAGTGGACATTCATGCCAAATTTGAGGAAATTCCCTCAAGGCAATCTTGAGATATCGCATTCATGAGAATGGAACATAGCTACATATGTATGGACAGACAGACAACCCGAAAACAGTATGCCCAGCCATGGCTGATGCCAGCACAGAGGCATAATAATAACAGATTAAATGATAATGAAAATAATGGTTAGTTGCAGCTAGGGATGGGAATCGAGAACCGGTTCCTGTTAAGAACCGTTTCCAACTGGTCCAATTCATCGACATCATTAGCCTTTATGCTGGTGTGTGTGTGGGAAACAAGATGGCGCCAGTGTGTAAGGCACGCCGTCTGTTGCTCCCACTTTTGTCTGTGTTTTTAGTGTTTTTAAGCCATGACACTTCTCAGATCGAGTCTCTGCTGGTATATGATCGCCAGACCCTTTAGGATTTACGACAAAATATCAGTGATCTAAATGCCTTTAATCATGGTGGACAGAAAACTTTACCCCCGCTCCTGTCGGAAATCCCGACTCACCTTCTCCGGGCCTCGGCGCTGCCTTCCCGGCGGAGGCATCCTCGTCGCCGCGGTAAACGGAGCGGTCGGATGGTAAAATTAAGGATCTGCCTGGCACGCTCCTCGTACGACTCCCGGACTGTACAGGGATCATCGCATCCCTTCACAGTGCCCCGGCGCTTCCTGGATCCCATTGACAGCTGTCTGGTACCTGTCACCGGCTTGGATGACGTAAACCTATTCCGGCTGCGTTACCCGCCCCCCGCCCGGCTCCGCCAGCGTGGGATTAATCTCCACAACCTGAGGACACCGCTTCGTGTGCAGCGATCTGCTGGATCACAGGCTCCAGCTCCGACCAGAATTGGCCTGGTTAACGCCAGATCGCTGGCAAACAAAACTTTTATCTTGAGGGAGTTATTCAACTCCCGTGATTTGGATTTCCTCTGTGTAACGGAGACGTGGATCAACGCTGGTGAGTGCAGCCCTCTTGTTGAACTTTTACCGGCCGATTGCTCTTATTTTAACTCCCCGCGGGCACTGGGCCGAGGTGGAGGAACGGCGACTGTTTTTAAAGGAACTTTTAATTGCAAACAGCGTCCTGCATCTTTCTCCAGTTTTGAGCTGACTGTTTTCGAGGTTGGTCGCTCAGACCCGGTGCTCTGTGCCGTCATTTACCGACCCCCAAAATATAATAAAGAGTTCATCAGTGACTTTTCAAACTTCCTTGCGGGAGTGATGCCCAACTATGATCGTGTCCTTCTTGTCGGCGATTTTAATCTCCATGTCTGCTGTCCTGATAAGCCTATGGTGAAGGACTTTTTAAGCGTCGTGGACTCTTTTGGTTTGAAGCAGTGTGTGTCTGGTCCCACACACGAGCATGGGCATACATTAGACTTGGTTTTCTCTTATAATCTGACTGTGTCCAACTTGGAGATCGGTGACTGTGTGTTTTCTGACCATGCACCAGTTTTATTTAGTGTTGATCTCTCCTGTGCGGCAGCTGAATACCGCGCTCCTGTCAGGCTCTGTCGGGCTTTTAACCCCTTCACTGCCGGTAATTTCTCTGCTGCCTTCTCTGCTGCCTGTGTCCGCCCTGGTTCAGCCTCTGCTGATACGGAGGAGCTCTGCTCCTGGTTTAACTCCTCCTGCCTTTCTATAATGGACTCTGTGGCTCCTCTAAAACCCAGGCAGTCTAAGGCTAGACGCGAACCCTGGTTCAATGACAGAACCCGTGCAGCCAGACGGGAATGTCGCAGAGCCGAACGCAGGTGGAAGAAGGACAAGCTGCAGGTTTCATTTCAAATTTTAAAGGACCGCTGGTGCTCTTATCAAAATATTGTCAAAGAGTCCAAAAGAGAGTATCTGTCAAACATGATCACAGAAAACTGTAAGAACCCTCATGTACTGTTCAGAACAATTGACTCTGTTTTGAATGTCCCACAGCCTGTATGTTTGGAAACATCCATTGATGTGTGTAATAGTTTTCTGCACTTTTTCATTGATAAGGTTGTGTCCACAAGAGCTCTCATTTCTCCACCCACCTTTGACCCCTCTGTCTTTGTTTCTTGCCCAGCTGTGTTCAACAGATTTGAACCTGTGACTCTGTCACTGTTAGAGGATGTGGTGGCCCATATTAAACCATCAGGTTCCCCTCGTGATGTGGTCCCTCCCCACTTCTTTAAAGAAGTTTTCTCTACTATAGGGCAGTCGGTTCTGACCATCTTAAATAGCAGCCTGTCCTCTGGTGTTGTCCCAGTAAGCTTCAAACATGCAGTAGTACAACCTTTGCTGAAGAAGCCTGGCTTAGATAGCACTGTTTTAGCAGATTTCAGGCCCATCTCCAAGTTGCCTTTTATTTCTAAAATCCTGGAGAAAATTGTCTATGCACAACTAAAAACTTTCCTTGATGAACACAATATTGTGGAGGTTTTTCAGTCTGGTTTTAAAACTTTGCATAGCACGGAAACTGCCCTTTTAAAAGTTTTTAATGACATTTTAACGGCAAATGATAGTGGCAACTATGTTGTTCTTGTCCTGCTCGACTTGACGGCTGCCTTTGACACTGTAGACCACAACATTTTGTTAAAACGTCTGCAGCAGCTAGTGGGCATTGGTGGTAGCGCCCTGGACTGGTTCAGGTCCTACTTAGCCGACAGGACTATGTGTGTTGGTCTTGGTGCGTGTGAATCCTCCTCCGCTCCGCTTTTATATGGGGTCCCACAGGGTTCAATTTTAGGACCCCTGCTTTTCTCCCTGTATATGCTTCCCCTAGGGTCTATCCTCAGAAAGCATGGTGTTGCTTTTCATTGCTATGCTGATGACAGCCAGATATATGTCCCCCTGAGTAAAAGCCATGCCTTTTCCCTCAAACCCCTGCTGTCATGTCTTGAAGATATCAAAGCCTGGATGGCCCTAAACTTTTTAAATTTTAATGAGAAAAAAACAGAGGTGATGGTGTTTGGCCCCAGCGGTGTTTCCTCCCCTGTTGATCTGGGTCCTTTGGCAGTTTATGCAAAGTCTACTGTTACTAACTTGGGTTTTAAGATGGACAGTGATTTTAAATTGGACCGTCAAATTAGTGCAGTTGTAAAGTCGAGTTTCTTTCACCTCAGGCAGCTTGCGAAGGTGAAGCCTTTTCTTGCACATCAGCACTTTGAAGCAGTAATCCATGCCTTCATTACATCTCGGCTGGATTACTGTAATGCACTTTATTTTGGAGTTAGCCAGTCCTCCCTTGCACGTCTCCAGTTAGTCCAGAATGCTGCCGCTCGTCTGCTAACTGGAGTACGAATGAGAGAGCACATTACACCCATCCTGGCCTCCCTCCACTGGCTGCCTGTGCACTTTAGAGTTCATTTTAAGATCCTTTTATTTGTTTTTAAATCTTTAAATGGCCTCACCCCGCCCTACCTCTCTGAGCTTCTTCACCCCTACGCCCCTGCCCGGTGCCTCAGGTCAGCTGATCAGCTGCTCCTTGAGGTACCGAGGTCTAAGCGAACGCTTAGAGGAGACCGTGCATTCTCCGTTGCTGCTCCAAAAATGTGGAATAATCTACCTCTGCACATCAGACAGGCCTCCTCACTGTCTGTTTTTAAAACCCACCTTAAAACCCACTTTTACTCACTGGCTTTTAACCCAGCATGAGACCTCGCTGTTTTTATTTGTTTGTTGTTTTTATTGTTTTTTGTTTTAACTGCTTTTTATTATCTCACTGTTTTGTTGTTTTATGACCTCCTATGTACAGCACTTTGTTTCAGCTGTGGTTGTTTTAAAGCGCTTTATAAATAAAGTTGAGTTGAGTTGAGTTGAGTTGAGCCTTTATGCTTAACGATTCACTTATCGATTCTTTTCATTACGCCGAATCTATGCTCGTCAGTCAGCAGCCCGTTCAACAACAAAGAAGACGTAATGGCGGAGAGACAGAAGCGGTCAAAACCGTAGCTTCACTTCAGTTGTTGTCAGCCTCCCTGGAGCTGCTAGCTCACTGTGGAGCTTCGGCGCATCCCCGCTCCAGGTGGACGGCGGGCGGGGCACTGTTGTTGTTAGCCTCCCTGGAGCTGCTAGCCAACTGTGGAGGTTTGGCGCATCCCTGCTCCAGGTGGACGGCGGGCGGGGCACTGTTGTTGTTAGCCTCCCTGGAGCTGCTAGCCAACTGTGGAGGTTTGGCGCATCCCTGCTCCAGGTGGACGGCGGGCAGGGCGCTGTTGTTGTTAGCCTCCCTGGAGCTGCTAGCCCACTGTGGAGCTTCGGCGCATCCCCGCTCCTGTTGTCGGATTTCATGGGAACACCAAGGATGGTAAGATGAGGGCAGTTGAGTTGATTTGCACGCTATTTGTTGTTATAATATGCTGGGCTAGCTGCGTTAGCTGCCTCACCTGAGTTAGCTGCACTAGCTGCGTGATGTTGACACACTCAGGCTGGGGATGCTTTTTCTCAAATCTTTCTCATCATCTTTCTAAACTAGACCATGGCTTTAAGGTTCATAATAAAACGTTCTGAAAGCAGATGTATTGGGTTACAAACAACAGGAGGTGATATCATTAATTCACAGGAGGAATCGATAAGGGAATCGATAAAGAATCGGATCGATAAGCAGAATCGATAATGGCATCGATATCGATAAAATCCTATCAATTCCCATTCCTAGTTGCAGCCCTACGAGATACCACTGTTAGAAAATAACGTTTTCTTGTAATGTTGTGAGAACGGGCTCTTTAAGAAACATTACAAAAACTGATTTTCTTGATGGATATATTACATACCTGCATCCTGCGTAGCTGGCCGAGCTGTTTGCGCAGGTCGGTGGCGTTTTGCTGCAGGCCGTGCAGGTGGAGCTGCATCTGCAAGCGGCCCACGCTGTTCACCTGGGTTGTGTTGGAAGGTGGTGGCGGCATCAGAGCTAGAGGTGCCGACGGTGTATGAGCTGCCAATCACAGAGCAGGACATGGGGGGGTCACCAGCAGGTTGTTGGGAAACAAATTGGTTAGTTTGCTGGGCCGTGCTCCGGTGAGATTTGCAGTCAGCCAGCATGACACACAGTGCAAACAGTAACACACACACAGAATAAAGTCTCAAAGAAATGTACATATATAGAAAATCTGGGCACACACTGGAACAAATACAGTGTGTGAATGCAAAAAAAGCGCCATAGTCACAAAACTCTAATAGCCCACTGGGAGAGACGTGAGCTCATGCTATTAGTAACCCATATAGAAGTGCAATTAGGCTATTCAGTAGTGACACACAAGGGGATAACCATGCTCTTATCTCAACACAGGGCTTTGTGAGTATGGCCATTGACTCCCCAGCTATTTCACCCACACATATGCCTCCAGAACACACACACACACACACACACACACACACACACACACACACACACGCACACGCACACGCACACACTTATACACTCATACACTTTTGCAAAGGAGAGCCTAGTTTGTGACAAAACAACCCTCTGAAATTCCCAAAGGAAAAACCAAGCATTAATTCAAAAAGTAGTGACAGGAAGAGGGGGGGGGGGGGGG